ATCATTTCTTCGCCAAGAAAAAGTGATAACTTTGAATTGGACTCTTGCACTGGAATGATCCCGTGGCTCTTCAATGATTCGCCTCCACGTTCTTCCAAGAGATAATGTACAAGATGAAAACGTTTAAATCTCACGGTTAGATTTATTACTATACACAGTATACATAAGAATAAACAGCATACAATTTTGATAATAAAAAAAGATGGCTATAGAGTTTGTCCAAAAATTGCGCCAGAAATTTTGAGCCTCTCCATGTAGAAGAAACAGATTATTTCAAGTATAGTTACCAGTCTTAAAGCAAAGAACTTCAGCCCAGCTTCTATCATGTAGAGAACAGTGAAGGCAATATTTAGGTACATTAGAATGTCTGTATATTGTTCGTCTTGCTTGTAATGCTGTATAAAAATAACAGAACAGAAATTCAGTGAACTGCGCTCATTTTGAAGCAAGTAACGTGACAGAGGGATACATGATTTCATAGGTGATGAACCAACCAAATGCTTTGCAAGATAAAAAATGACAGGGAAGCAAAATTCTATTCTTCACTGAGAATAGGGTCGGGGGTATCCTATTAAGTTGAAAAATTTTTTCTCCGCTTTGAAAAATACCAGAATATCCCTATAAACGGAACGGAACAGTCTGTTAGATTAAGACAAACTCCGTCCAACTTTAGTCTACCTACCTGAGACATAAGCACACCGGTGTTCAGGGCTATCAAGACCAAAATGAATGTATCAAATGGCTTCGACATGACAATTACCCAGACCTTATACTGCAGGCTTTTGTGGTCAGCCGGCATATATCTCTGCGCAGGCTTAGCAGTAAGTGCAAACTGAATGCAATCACGCTGTTAGAGAGAACATGTGACAATTAGTATACTCCCAAGTTACTAATAACTCTTTCTGCAAAGGCGAGAGATAAGATCTTGCAAAATTCAGCGAAGAGCGAAAAGTCAGAATCGTTTTCTCGGTGTCGCTTTCTGTGACGAACGGAATAACTTAAGTGAAGCAATAATGTTACGATGGTAATAAAAACGAACAGATGCCTTTGTTATGGGTTTTGTTGGAGGCTCAGTGACCCGCCGTGTTCAAAGGTCAATAGCACCAACTGTTTTGAACTGAATGGCCACTAGAAACAACTCATTGACTCATTTAGTTCGAATGTGTGAACACTTAAGTAAAAGATTTCACACAGTCTGGGATCCAACAACCTTTAGCACGAGCACTGATAATTCTTTTCGTCTCTGAATTTTTCCGGCTTTGCTAACCAATCACTTCTACTGATTATGGCAAGAGGGAAATCACAAATTATTAATTTGAAAGTTTGGCAAGATAGAAAAACTCCCAAAGGGGAAGAATAAACCAAAAGGGATGAAGGATAAGTAAAGGTAGAGCAGATTGACACAGCCCACTACGAGCCATCGATGCACAAAATAAATAGCCACACAGTTTCTTTAAGTCATTCTTGAAGGAAGAGTGCGAAAAGATTTATATACCTGATTTCTGTCCAACTCACAACTCGCAATTTCCCTTTCACCCTCCTCTTGGAAGGTGAGAATTATTAACGCCACAAAGATGTTGAGGAAGAAAAAAGAGAACACCACAACAAAGGCGATGTAATAAAGTGCGTATCCCGGGCTGTAATTATGGATTGGACCTTTGTCTATTTCTGTAGTATCCATAGTGGTCTTCATGGCACTAGATCAAGAAGATCAATCCAAATATATCAGCTTATTAATCACGGATTTTTCAATCTGGTTAGTCACTTCGTCTTGTTGGTTTATCTATGCTACATAGCCTAGCTTACTCTTGTCGCGGATTGATATCCTGTTTACTCCAGCAAGTTAAACAAGTTTTAATTAACTAATTTTCAATGAAGGTCTGCGATTTTCATAAAACGCCTGAAAAACATTCAAACTAAAGCTATGCAACCCTAGAGTTTTCCATTAGCAATTATTAACTTGTCAAAAAGAACCTTACCTGGGCCAACCTTCACCAGTAGAAGAAGTGTAAAGAGTCAACATTGCTTGTAATACGTTGTCAAAGTTAAGGAGTTTATTCTCCCACGTGCGATTCTCAACCTGATAACATTAATAAAGAACAGTGTGTCAGCCATATCACCATTAAAATTATGATTTTATTGCTATTTTAAAGTAAAAAATGTAATTATTTCTGCATAATTTTGGGGCTTTAAGCATAGCAGAACTAATAGAAATAAGGTGCAAATCAAACAAACCTTTTCAACTGTTTCCTGTTGGTAGAGCTCATCGTACTTGAAAACAAAAAAATACCCTCTGCAAATGAACCAAATCCATAATAAGTCACAAACTTCGCCTCTTCCTCAAAATCCATGGAATTTATTCAACTACCTTGTGCACCCAACTTATGGCCGGGAAATGTAGCTTCATGTTAACATTTAATCAAACTGTATGCTAAAGTTCCGTCAAATCTCACGAAACATTTTTATAGAAATTCTCAAGATGTAAAAAACGGCCTTGAACCAGATAGGAGGACATTAAGCTTCTCATAACACTTACATCACAGAATCAATACCAGGTGAACCGTCTAAGCGCACGACAACGACGTTGAACCAGAAAAACAACTTATTCTAATCGTATTCAGAAGGTGTGTTCAGAAGTAATTTTTGTAATTTTATTTCTATTTATCATCATAATTTTAATTATTCTTTTAATGCCTAGGGCATCCAGTTATAGCAGCTTTTTGCTGAAGGGTTTACCCTGGTAAAATATGGTGCTATCATTATTATTATTTTTCAGAAGTGGTTATGCATATTTAGCCATTTCTTGCTAGCAAGACTAGGTCTTGCCACGGCACCGGCTTAGACGTAACAATAAAAAACTGGTCTACCCTCAATCTGTCGCCTCCACCCGCCACCCTCCCCTCCCCACCCTTACCAATGTCCCAGACATATAAAAGGAGGAAAAGGAGGAATGTTTGTGTGGTCTTACTGGCACTCTTCCTTTGTGCGCTTTGAGGTGTCGTTGCAATGTTGAAACTTTCCTTTGAACAGTTGTACACCCATGACGGCGAAAATAAACAAAAACAACATGGTGATCATCAGGATATTAGCAACATTCTTTACTGAGTACCACATACAGCGAAATACAGCCTGAAATAATAAAAACAAAACAAAAGCTCTAAGTTCTCAATACTCAAGGTTAAAAATTGCGATTTTATGACGATTGTCACGCGTAACATTGTTTTGATAGCTCTTACCTGTAATTTCTTAATTTTGTGCACGCCTTTAAACGGTCTTAGCACTCGGAATACACGGAGTGCTTTAATTAAAGAGTGGCCACTGCCAGATGAGTCTGTTTGTCTAAAAAAGGACAATAATCGAAAGGGTTATGACAACAGAACCATCGCATGTTACTGTTCATCTCGTTGCGCCAGCGTTTATGATTTATTTAGTCACCTCAAATCGATTGAATTACATCGCGCAACCTGCTTTAGCAGTGCAAAGCTAAAATAACGGTTTGTAGCCAATCAACCAAGAAACAAACTGTGATGTTTTTTTATTTTCAGTTTTGTTTTAAATACGTAGCGTCGCAAAAGAACTGGTAGAGAACAGCAGTGTGAAACGTGGGTTAGGGGAGGGAAAGGCAGTGAAGTTAGCTCTAAGCTTCCCCAAGTCATTATTGTGGGTTCCTATAAGCATATCCATTGTGGTAGTTTTAGCTCCGCAAACAGTGACAGTGAGAATAGGTTTATACCCCTCGGTATCTAGGAATTTGTCAAGGAATACAATGGATTATCAGTTGGTTTACAGGTAGCAGAAGTATATTTAGGTGAAATATATAGAATTAGGGCTATATGAAATTGCTATATTGTGATATCACATGATGTGCACTTACTCTAAAATGAGCGAAGCCATGTTGAAAGACACCACAAGAGCATCGATAATATTCCACCAATCACGGAAATAGGCGCCCTTATGAAGAATGATCCCCACATCCACAACCTGAGCACAACAAATTTTAAATGAGGTCAGTCCTTTTTGGTCAAATAAAACAACTCCCTATGTTAAGGATGCTGGTCCGATCGACTGCCGATTGGGCGATTTAGATTTGAGCCTCGAGGAAAAAAATTGTCGAGTGTCTTCCCCTGTTTATATTTTGTATAAGAAGTTTTAGAAGCGGAAACCTTTTAAGCGCAACTGCATGTATCAGTTAAATTGGTTCTGTCAGCATGAAGATAACTTTTGAAATAGCTCAAATCACCCAATGATTTGAAAAGACAACTGAAAGCTAGGGTAAACCCCGAAATTTAAAATTTGTTTCATAGTTACCATAGGAGCATTTCGAATTTCCCTCGCGAGAAGTGACAGTTAAGATCAATCACGCGCAAGATCTACACATCAAATATGTATATAAAAATATAAATCATGCTAGAAGTGAAACAAACTTGATTACTCTTTACAACTCACCTTAATGAGTACCTCTAGAGCAAATATCCCAGTGAAGACATAGTCAAAATACATCAGCACCTAGAAACCAGATTAGAAAAAGTTTAGAAATTTAGAGAGAAGTTAAGAGAACTCTTGAATACGAATTATGAAAGGGAATCCTTGACCTGAAAGAGGTAACAACACTCAACGATGAAGGAACGGCGATGATTAGGGACAACGATCACAGACTACACGTAAGGACCTTAGAAACGTAAAGGTATATTTAGAACTGTTCACGAGAAGACGCTCACAGAGAGAGCGACACATTCCACTAAAAGACATGTTGTGATAAAGATGGAGGCGCGTGTTTTAGAAACAGAACAGCACTACGCATAAGGACGTGAGTGGGATCTTTTTAACAAGATAGTCCTAACCCTTGCAGAGAAAAAAAAAACACCAGTTCCTACTGTTCGTCAAACAGAAAATAACATTGCCTTGTTCAGTTTGGCGTCATCATTCACTGGATCCTCGATGGCAATTGTAATGCTACTCAACAGGATTACAACCAACATGAAATTGTCAAAGTGTCTTAGGTTCACGATCCGGTGGCATTGACGTCGTAATCTGTGTGAAAAATAATGATAGATAATAATGATATTCCTAATTATAACAGATTAATAACTTCCCTTGCCTCAAAAATTTTTAGAATGGTTTATTTTCTCCTCTGGAAACCCCAACTTCATGCCATACTGAAAGTGAATTTCCAACAAACGTTTGATATGATTTGTCCACCAAATCCCAAAATCAAAGGGAGCTACCATTGGTCAGAAATTTACCAACCTAACAGTCGATGCGAAAATGAGAAATGCTTATCCCAAGAGGTTCTCGAATTTTTCGTAAACTAAAAGAATCCAGTATATTAACTGATCTAACAGGCAAGGTCACCTCGCACTTATGACGAAATTCTCATTATTAATTATTAAGTGTTACTCTTTAACTGAATACTCACTCAAATGAAACTATTACCAATTAACACATTTTTTAAATGCAAACCCTGCACTCAACCAACCACTTCGAAATGCACCATACAGATAAATCAATTATTTATGACAGCAAGACAGTTTGTCGAACGTAACTTACATCTCATATAGAACTATGTAGGTCAGGTACAACAGGACACATTTCTGGTATCCTCTGTTGAGAAACCTTAAGTCCGCATAACACGTGCCTACACATCACGGGACTGCCTTTCACAAGTCATGTGTTATTCCATCTCACCTATTCTCGGGTCCAAATATAAACAACGTTTTGGTCTTCAAAATAGGCTTCTTTTTCCGAGGATTCCGCCGACGATTACCAAATCTCCCTCCGGTCTTCAACATCTTTATGATGTTCCTGCGACTTACGGGTGGATCGTCTTCATCTTAATTAAAAACAACAAAATGGACAATGCTTTTAAGTACGCAAACATATCGTGTTTCCCGTTTTAAAAAAAAAATCAGCTTCTCACGCAGCTCCTTCGTTTACACAAATAAGGCATATTATGGTAGCACAAGATGTGTAACGAACCAACGGAAGCAGTGTTGAACGTAAAAAGTCCTGAGGTATGTGACATAAAAAAGATGAAACGATGAATTCTTATCTTGATATTAGAACAAGAGACGAAAGAACGGCACAATTAAACGAGAATGAACTTGAAACATGGAGCTTTAGCCTGAGGTATCAGAGGATCCTGTTTCAAAAGATCAAGTCACGTGGTATCACACTGGAATAAGTGATCCATTTTATTACAGAAATCTTTAGCCGTGTCAAATCACACTGGTTTTCTTACTTGGCCTTTTCTTTCTGACGTGACTTTTAAGAAGCTTTCCTAACTGAGCGACTCGTTAAGTAATGACTCATCACGCTATTGGTCGTATTACTCATGGCGTCATTTCGTCGCATGACTTCTTGCGGCGAAAATTTCATGAGATTTTCTCACCTTCGTCATCGTCGTCTTCCCTTTCCGTGTCTCCATTTGCTTCATTCTTTCCTCTCTTTATCCTCCTTGTCTTGTGGTTCTTCTCACCCGCATCACTACTCGTCCCAGGTGTTTCTTTGAGTTTGGCAGCGTCTGTCCCGTTTCTTTCTTCCTTGTTTTCATAAAGACTTGCTTCTCGCCTGTACGTTTTTATCTTTCTTTTCAAGGACTAAACAGGAATTGACGGAGTTAAGTGTAGGTTAACCGAAAGTGTTCGTCCCCTCGATTTTATATGCCCAAAAAGTTTGAAAGTATTATCGTCCTAACACCAATTTAATCAAACTAACTTACATATGTGGCGAGTAAATTCTACTCAGCAACTGAACGTGCTTCAAAAGCCTACCGTAAAATCAAACACAACGAGAACGCTCACGAGAATCTAAACGGTTACTGCTGAATTCACACTGTCTGTGCAACTACTTACCGAGGACATCGGCGGTACACTAGTCTCTCCGTTCTCTATACTCGTGCTGCAAATATGATGAAAGCAGATTTGATTTCAAATACTTTTTAATTGAAACAAAATATTAACAAAGACACCCAGTTTATGTCGCGAGACAAGTCTCCATCACACTCAAAAACAGTTTAAGTTTTTAACTTTGTAACGAGTGTGAGCAACACAACAGAAACAGTAGAATCGGGAACATGATTGCAACGGAAGAAAGCCTTAAAATTCATTCATTCTTTGGATCTTTGGTTTATCGGTTCCATGGTCCTTCAGTTCACTGATTCCTCTTTACGTAGATCCGCCAGTCCGTAGATTTTTCGGTCCCATAGTTCGCAAAGTGGTACGTTCGTTGGTTCGTCGGTTCATCAGTTTGATAAATCTTCGGTTCGGGCAATCTTTCGTTCTCTCGTTCTCTAGCTCACCATTCACTATTTACCTGTTTCCTTCCCCAGTTGAAGTTGCTGCATTTCCATTCCTCTTGCGTACCATTCGATTGATGGCCATGATCATAGGCAGTTTGTTCCCAGCCTTTCCCCAACCCTTGTTGCTGGGTTGGTACTTTTTTTTGTTGGCTGCTCGAGCGCGTTCTCTTTCAAGTTTCTCGTTTTCTTCGTCCTCTGTCAAGATTTGTGCGTTTGCTAAGTTGTCGACGGCGATAGCCAAGAAAACATTCAACAACGTGTCTGTTTACAGTTAAGGAAACATGATGTCCTGGAAAACCATTTTGAATATTACTTCGACTAACTCGTAATTCTCACAAAATCCGACGAAATAACGAAATTCATAAAGAAAAAAATCAGCTTTTCAAAATTGAAATCTCTTTTGCTTTCAAGGATACAATTTCCTAAGATAACTAGTAGAACAAAATACAGGCTTGCTGCAATTCCTGATGCCTCATGAGGTCCACCATAAGCCTTCACTCCACTGTACATAACAGAATTCCAGTCCTCCCCTGTGAGTATCTTTGTTGACAAACAAAATAAAAAAACGATTATTGGTTCACATCAGTTCTTCTACGTCATTATTTCATCGTTTGACTGCTCGTTTGAAATTTTCACAAGGCAAAAAGGAAAACAAAAATTACTATTGATGGTAAATCCTACGAAAAATTTTAATAAAACCAACCTGAAAAACAGCTAACATGGCGTTCTGAAAATTATCAAAGTTCGTTGTGGGAGTTTCGTCTTCTGAAAATCTAGGGAAAATGAATAAACCTAGTTATTTCTGCACTATGTTCCTTCGAGTATTTGAAGCTTTCATCATCTATTTGGTTTAACAATCGTACATTAAAAAACTTTTAGAAAATTGACGAAACAACGCTTCCTGCAAAACAAGGTACAACTTAACTAACATTAATGTAAGAGAAATAGAAATGGAAAATAGGAAAGTTCTATATTGCTTTTATGAAATATTTCTGGAAATTTTCTAAAAACATGCAAAAATCTTAACGTTTCAAGCGTGATGTCATTACCTTCTGTTAACACGCCTAGTGACCAACGAAACTAGTAAGACATGAGTGAGTTTAAACCAAAACAAAATTTTTCATAACAGCCAATAAGAAAAAAAGCAAAAATTCGCTGGATTATTTTCGACACTCACGTGAGAACTGCTGCAGTTGGCCCGACGAAATTTTATTACAAATATAAAGTAAAGGATTATATGGCTTCATGAGGACATACGCTTACCTTCCACCAAATATCTGCATACCAAGCAAGGCAGCAATCAGGATAAACAGGAACAGCAAGAAAATCAGGCTCACGATAGACTTGATGCTGCTGACGAGAGAGGTGGCGAGGTTCCTTAGCGATCTCCAGTGTCTGTAACATAATAAGATGGAAATTACTGAATAGATACTGATCTTTGCGTGTAATCAAGACGGTGGTTATCAAGGGGTGATAGAGGCGAAATTTTGAACATAGAAGTAACAGGAAAGTTGAAATGACACGTTTGATTGAGGTATGTTTTTCAACTTTGCCTTAAAGTTTAGTTTAGTAAATGAATTTTTCCATGAGAGTAAAGGTAAAGACAGACCGGCACGGACTCCCCATGTGGCTTTTGTGGTCGCGTCGCATTAACGCCTTCACATTACATTTTTGCTCTCACAAGCATGTCTTTAAGGATGATCGTTGGTTTTGTAAAAATTGTTTTCAGCAAGGGCTGATTGTGTATCAGACTCCAATGTTCCATCAATATTTGTTTTAAATTTTTTAACTGCTGGGTGGTATGTTGTGACAAAAGGCAATAAACGTTCGTGACCTTTTGGCGTAAGAGCCAATTGTCTAAAGGCCAAGTTGACCCCTGCCAGAGACCTTTCTATGATGTTTTCTGGGTACCCTTTTGCTTTGAGAAGTTGTTTGAATTTCAAAGGCCTTAATCATATGTTTTTTCGAAGAGTTAGTTGTAAGCAATCTTATTGCTTCGCCTTTGATGAAACCATATTTTACGCCTGGTGGGTGGCAAGAGGCGAACATCTCGGAGAGAAGGCTTTCACTGGTCAAATCAGAAATGGAAAAGGAAGGAGTGGATGCGGCCGTGGAGGCACACGTAGCAGTATGGATTTTCTAACTTCTTTAATGTTTCGAGGAGCTTTTATTCAAATCAATCCTCCCATTTACACGGTTTCGCGCTGGAAAGACGCCACCATTTCATCTTCCTTTTCGCCCAAGGGCTGTAGCCGTTTTTTCATTAGACGATTCACTATTGAAGTAGCAGTATCACTGAAAATGATTTTTTTTCTTTCGCACAGATATATAGTTGGAACGTACCAAGATGAGCACTGAAAAACCTGGGCGCCTCGCCGTCCGTCAAGTAGGCAAAATAATACAAATGAAAATAGTGTCACTTAGAAAAAAGAAGAAGAAATCGAATCTAATAACGGTCCGAAATTTTCATTTTTCACTCATTTGTACAATTTAAGCCACAATTACAAGCTCCAGTCGAAAACAATCGGTTTAGTCTGGGTTATCAAATTCGATAACAACCCGGACTGTTAAAAACAAAATTGAAATATCAGGGGATGATGCATATGCTCTTTAAAACAAGTCTCCTGTGAACTTATTCACCTTAGTCAGTGAGTAAATAATGACAACTTCATTTATTCTCATCAAAATCTTACCTGGTCACCTTGAAGACTCTGAGAAGACGAACACATCTCAATACACTGATACCAAGTTTTACTAGCACAGTTTTAGAGAGTATAATGTCCAGAAATCCTGAAATCACAATCTGTAAAAAGCAAAAGTAAGTTATTCAATCTACGGGTAAATTTCTTAACTGGGAGGATTTTAATTTTTTTCAAGAGACATAAGGTTATTCCTTACCGAGCAATCGAAACAATTGAAACTTGAGTTAAAGTAAACGTGAAATCCAAGACCATAAATCTTCAGAATCATCTCCACAAAGAATAATGTCAAAAACACGATTTCAGCCCATGCTGAAAGACAACAATGATCGTCAAATTTGGTGGTTAAAAATGTTACAATATAGACTTATCGATGGCTAAAATATTTTCTTTTCCTTTTCATCAACCAAAATTTGTCTTTGGTTACATTACCTTGAAAATCTGACAGCCATTTCGGTTGGCCATAATACTCCACGGCCAGAACAATTGTGTTGAGGAAAACGCAAACCAAGACAGTCCAATAAAACGCTTGAGTTTTCACCATGCGACCGACTTTTACAGAGAATTTACTGTTCCACTGCAAAAACCGCTGAAGTGCGCCCGTGCTAGAAAAGAATACCCAGTTGTTAATACCAAAATATCTAAAGCGTATGATTAGTGATTTGTTATCCCACTTTGATGTTATTGCAACAAATGAAAAGAGTGCGCAAATTATGTGACCATTAACACAGTGCAGTATCTCAGTTTGACTGTATTACAACAGTGATAATACGGAAGGAAAGACACAAATAGCGTAAAAACAGCCGGCCTGGACGAATAAAAAGCGTTACATCGAACTAAAACCCAACCAACCTCTCCGGCATGTTGACTCGGTAACAGTTCCCTTCTCTTCTGGTGACCACTCTTCCTGGATTACTGACCACGTCGCTGGTAACAAGTTGTGATTGCGAGTCGTTCAAGCTGAGATGTTTCGTCCTGAAGTTGTCGTCTGCTGCCGTTTCCGCTGTATTAGAAATTAAAGTAAATATGGAAAGCCTGATAAGTTTGATGTGGACATGATATATTTGCTGAGATTAGATAACAATTATTTAACCCTTTCGGTGGTATTAATTGGTACCCAGACGTTTAAGAAAGACCCTCCTTCCATTTTTTCATTGACAAGAATATGAGTACACAGACCTGAGTCCTGGGGCTGCACCTCTTCCGCCTAAAACGAGAATATTCTGTATATTTTTTATCACCCCTTTTTGACCTTCTCCCCGGCAAACTTCCGAATGAAAGCTTACTAAGTATAAATATTTCTCATGCTGTTCTTTCCATATTTTCTGAGTTGCTGATGAGGAGAAGCTGTTTAAAAATCAAGAGCTTCTTTAGTCGCGACCTTAATGTTTGATTCAGGGGTGATACTGTATGGAGAAACTAGATGCTAGTTATTCTTAGGGGTAAGAGGGTTAAGTGTTCTGTCTCTTAGCAAAAGTTTTTTCAGCTGTCTATCTGTAAAACCTACCGGCTTTGGCTATCCACGACAAGTACGCATCCACCTGACGGTTCAGTTGTTGTTGTCTGCGAACTTTAAAGAACTTTCGTCGAGTATCCACTCTCTCTCTTTCCTTTGCAAATTCCCTGATAAGAAACAGTACAAAGATTCAATAACTCACTACTGTTTTCACTGCTCTCATCGACTGCTAACCAGCCGAATCCGTTTCTTCAACGTTGTGGAGACGTTCTCATTGGTTTAGTGGGGGACATTTGACTTTGACAATTGACGAAGACACTTGCAAGACATAGCACACAATTCTATCTACCTACAGAAATCACCAACCTTCGAGTTACACCGAGAAGACAAGTTGTGAAGTCGTTTTCTGAAAAGCTAAAATTTCGCGTTGAAGTGTATTGCAGATCGTGTGAGATTTCATCACGAAGAATTTAAGTAATGAACACATTTATAACAATTATTGCATGTGATGCAAGCAGCGAGATTTTGAAAAACATCTGAGATCAATTTTTTCTCACTCGAGCGTCTAACGTTTGTCGTGTATCTGTTACCCTGTCATTTATTTTATGGTGGAAGCAGTTAATACGTAACACTCACCCACTCAAAACTCCAAGCACAAGATTAAGGACGAAAAAAGAACCAATCACAATTAGCGAGACATAATAGCAGGCATAAAGATATCCGTCTTCATCCATTGCATCAAAAGTCTGGGAAAACAATTTAAAATTTTTTACTCAAAATTCAAACTCACTAGTTTTCTCTACACAAATGTTCCATGTGTTCTGGTATTGAAACATAAGGGCCTGTGCTCGAGCTGGTTCAGGCACGCACAGAAGTTGTATCAGATATTTCATGTGTATACGCTCGGGTAGATAAGAGGGATAAGAGAGTAATATTAGAATGAAACGAATTCCGGCGTCAGTGAATGGCCAATCAAATTGCAGTGTTTAAAATCGAATATCTGCTCTTGGTTTTGTCCTTATAGGGCATTAGAATATCACTTTCGAAGGAAGAAAGCACCCGGAGTACGCCTAATATTTCCTTCTACACTGCAAAAGAATTAATCGTTTTTCCTCTTGAGCGCCGGTATATTAAAACCCATAGAATCAAAACGGCCAATCACAACAAAGTTAATTATCACATGGAATACTTGCTACTAATCAAAATCGGAGGAAACGTGAGTGACAAAAACATGATTGGTTTCAGTTTCAGGTCGGACGGGTTGCGCAAGTTTTCTAGACCAATAACAGGCGGTAGTAAGGCAAGGCCAATGACAGTTTCCCAAAAAATATAATGAAAGGAAGTATTTCTTACTTTGTACATAATCGACGTCCATCCTTCCATTGTTATGCACTGAAACACAGTAAGCATTGACAATGCGATGTTATCAAATAACGTGATGCCAGCGTTCGGACCAATCCAATACTCTCGGCATGTCGTTTCCTCGGGACAACGTCGACCACGAAAAATCTTCCTCACTCCGGGAAAGGGTCCCTTGTCACACGGCTCAGGATTTGATGCTATTGAATCTACAAGGACAGGTAATATGGTGTTTACGCATTGCAACAACAAATAGCAACTTAAGCAGTTCGAATGCCGTTATGGCATTATATAGCAGATCACCAAAAAGGTTTTTTTTAAAGAAATAGGTCGGTAATTAAACATATAGAGAAGGAAATTAAATAATGTATAAAAAGAGAACAAAGGAAAAGGCCCCTGTAAGTATACATGTGGCTAAATAATCGAAGTATTCTCAGACTCAAGTTTGATGATTAGCAAAGAAATAGTGTAGCAACGGGTATGTTTCTACCTCAAAAAATCAATGCGAGCTTTCTTGTAAAATGATTCACAGTTTGAAAGATACCCACTCCTTCTTATGTATCACTCACATTTACTTTTATAAAAATCTTGTAGAAAAAAGGTAAGAAAGGGTTATTAGTGATGAATCACGCACAGGACAGTTTAGGAATCATACATAATGGAAACCTGACATTTTTAATAAAATATTCAGAAATGTTGTGAGCCTAGAGAAAGACGCTTTTTCCATCTTGTGACTAACTTGGGATAAAGGAAAGATTCTGAGTCCCCATGAGAAACCGAACCTCGGAATTCTCACTTTTTGCTTTTTAGCCTATTTATATAGGCTAAGAATTTATAATTCTCTTTACTGTCAACTATACAATTCTTATAAAGTTAGTTCAGAGAATTTAGTAGTGGATCAACTACTTATCCCCAAATTGATATTTGTATTTATTCTCATCACTTTTCTGGTTGATATTGTAAGGAGAAATTCTGTCTTGGTCACTCATAGGAGTAAGAGGGTTAACGTTAGTCACATTATGAAGAACAGGTCATAATGGAAAAAGGGAAAACTACGAAGCACTCACTTGTTTTTTTGTCGAAGCAGGTGGTGTGAAATTTATCTTTGAGAAAATCTAAACCTATAATTGCATAAATAAGAATACAAAACAAGACCAAAAGGGCTATTTGCAAAAGAGGAACCATGGCACGGACTATGGACTTCATCACAACTTGCAGACCTAAAATAAGAAAAAAGAGAAGCACAGATTTTACTTTGTGAGAAAACAAAAGGGTCTCATTTATCAGCTCCATTTTCTGACTTCAGTCTGAGAGACTTGAACCAAAAAATGACACATCAACCACAGTTGGTTTTAAACAAGAATTAACTCTTTATATTAAAACCTATACCTATTCTTCATACTATCCTGTATGCATTTCCATTGTCACTGAAAAGAAGAATTTGTCTGAAAATCATAAGCTTGTTTGGTCATCATTTCCTTTAATCTCATGATCTTCATGTGAGATTCAGCAGTGAAGTGCTCTTTTTATCCGTGACAAACTAAACGCTTATGTTGGATGCTCTTCATTCGCACAAAAACTCAATTTTTCCCGGAGGGGGAGCATCATTGGAAAAGCTTGTTGCCCTGTTCTTTCCAAAAAAGATATCATGCTGATCCAAATTGAATTGGAAAGCAGCTATTTTAACGTATTGAACGTTTACACGAACAACTGACCCATTCTAATCAGAACGCTGGCGAGTCAATGTAGAGTAAAAGAATAAAGAGTATAGAAATAACTTTATCACTTACTTGGTACACCAGAAATAAGTTTAAGAGGCCTGAGCACTCGCACAGCCCTCAGAGCTTTTACATCCAGGGTACCATTATCTCCAAGAAATTTGCTGACGGGTGGAAGACTTATAACTCTAAGGTGGAGGGGAAAGAAAGTACCATATAACTCATGACTATCTGGTATAAGAACATTTTTGGAGCAAATTGGGCAACTGAAAGCTTAACCACATTTTCATTTTAATTCATTACCATATTTTGTCTTGTCTTTTTAATTGCAGTGTATTAAGCTAGGATTGCATTAATGTTTCTGCCAAATATGAGACGTTTGCTGTTGATTATAACCATTTCATTTACGAATGTTCCATATTGGTTATGAACAGTTTGTTCATGACTGCCCTTAAGACTTAACCTGTGTTAGTTTGCACGAAAAAAACGCATTCATTATGCGAGTGTTACTTAGGTTCCGTTCCACTCGATAAGGATAACATCTGCTTGAAGTTCCATAACAATTTTTACACCCACGTTTGAATGAACAACATCTTTCGACGAAAATTCACAAATACATACAATTATCTTCCTTAGTCTAATCATTACACAGGATGCTTTCAACATTGCTGATCTCAGCATTATGCTAGCTTGGCAGAGATACAGATATACAGTCATATATAAAAATAGTAGGTCATGGACCCAACCCACGAACGAGTTCTTTGAATTCAATAGGAAAGGCGAAGGACTGCGTGATAGCAAGGTGTGAGGCTCGCATGTGACTCAAGTTTTTTTTGCTACGATCGCAACAAAAAAAAAATGACATCTTTCTTTTTCCTTTTCTTTACCAGGGATTATTTCTAAAACGTGAGCAGAGTTTCGATGATTCAAGATTTGTAACCATAGGGATTCCTAGTGATCATATGCCATCTATTTAAAAGTAACAAGAAGATAAGTGATTATTCATGCCAGCTGTAGCTGAGAAAAGACACGTGCTCACGCTTTGCAAATGCACGTCCCTACGCTTTACTGTTTGAGCATAAATTTAACATTTCTTTGCATCATACGAGCAACAGACGGAGTAGAAGTCTCTAATCCTCGCTCAAACTTACTTCAGTGTCTGACTGGCCCTGGATGTTGGAGGGTTAGATAACGGAAGTTTTCATTCCAAGTGCTATCCGTATCTTTCTCGTCATCACAGTTTGGTTTGAGATTCTAAACGACGCCCTACAGTCGATCCATTGACGTCAAAGCGCAAAATAATTTGTTTTATTCTCAGTCTTCCGGTTGCCGTTCGAGTCTCAAAAACGTCTCTGCTTAAGTTCTATAAATTATTTGAACAGCCATGCTCTGGCAGGAGCGTTCGTTTTTAAGGCGTATAAGATTCGCTTCATATTTTCGTGACAAGTCAACATCGGTTGTCATTCCTACATTCATATCCCTGCGGTATACTTAGTACGGAAAGCAAAGTAACTCTAAACCAATATAATCGTTCGTGAATTACGAAAAAAAAAAACGAGCTGCGGATATCATTTTTTCAAGCTTCCCCACACACACTGGCATGGATTAGTTTGACTTAATGTATTGAGAAGAGCCTCAGGTTTCAATAGCAGCCGGCCTGAACACCAAGATATCTCTTTTTGTCGTAGTTTAAGCCCATGCAAGACTAAACAAAACCTTACACAACAAAACCAAACCCAAACATTAAAATAACAAAAAGTTTTAATGGAGATAAAAAACAAGATATAGCGTGTGTAGGTAATTTCAGAGGTTTCAAGACTTCTAAATAATTAAAATTTTGCTTCTGGGGAGAGTCTAGATGCCAAAATCTACAAAATTATAGCTCAGTCTAAATTATTGTCCTCCGTTCATCCATCTGACGTAAAATAGATATATCAAGCGAAAGAAATGTAGTTTTTCAACCGGTTTTGGTAACTTCAATATATCTTTGTTAAGACTTCCGGGAAGTAAATATTATAAACATTATAATTTCCATTATCAAATATTTCGTATCATTCACTGCAACGGTTAATTTCACTTCAAGTACTTGAACAGAACGTTTGGACACAAAAGAGTTATATTATTTGCACGAGTTTCATTCGAAAGGTTACCGTTCCTCAAGGCTGACAGTGATACGGTTCGACCGACAAATCTAATTGCTTCGCAAAGCTGGGGATTTTGCATTTTATGGTACAGTATGATTGGCGTATTGTCATCACATCGCACAGTGACAAAACTATAACATGAAAATGCGTGGGTTACTAACATTGAAGTTCCTTTAATGTGAAATAGTTGGCTCACATGTTATTAAAAGTCACGTTAAGAACTGGGAGAAATCATGGACCAGAGTTTACTTCGCGAACAAACAAACAAACAGGTGCATAGCCACTGACGACTACGGATGTACTCAGTTTTATCAGTTCTTCAAATTGTGAACATCAACATCGAATGAAAATCGAAACAGAGAATGAATTCATTGATTCAACGGAATCTATGTTTTGCATTACCTCAATTTTTCTTGGTTTTTCACTCATGAGAAATAAGTCGCAGGTCGTAACGAGATGAAAAGGTTTTAAGATAATCGAGAATTATTCCGTCCTTCTCTGTGACGAGTAAAGCCTCTCAGAAATTTAAAGTTCTAGTTTTTTTCAATTCATCACAATCACACATGGTGCATGTATGCTGATAGGAACTACTGTATGAAAACAAAAGAACAACAAAACGAGTGATTTAATCAATGTGTCTTATAAACTGCTGCCTCTTGATGGACATGATTCTGTCGCAAGTTCACTCAGTTTTAATTTCACGTCGAAATGGTTCGATATTTTAAACAATTCGTAGGCGACCACCTGTGTGTAGGGCTGTTAGAGCGAATTGAGAAATTGACTGGAATTTTCCACCTATTTCGTGGCGAGATCAAGAACTTTGACGCCTTTTTCAAATAAACAATCATAACTCGTTCGAAATCTCTCTTTGCAAAACGCTGTAATTGTATTTTTTTTCGTCATGTCAGTGTTCATTAGAAGGCGCCTAAAGCGTGACCACTCTTGTTAAAATGTCCAAATAAAAAATAGACGCCTTATATCAGGAAATTTCTACGAGGAAAAAAAATGTGTTTGCCTCAGAACAATAGAGGCCGCTTAAATTTTGCAAGAAGCGAAACGTTGACTGAGAACTGTGCTTAACAAGTAATGATAAAAAAAAGAAAGTACTTTTAGAGATAATGACTTCTGCGAGTGTTAGGCCGTCTGTAGCAAAGGAAACGTACGGCTGAGGCAATTTACACTCCAAACAGATTTCGCCACAATATGCGCTTATCTTGTAGAGCGCTGCGCGTGCGTGAGCCGAACTCCAACCTACAATTATTTAGATTACATGGCTGTTAAGACCACCGCGCTAAAAACCTGATCAACGGAACTGAAGCCACAAGAAATTACAGCTGGGTACTTCGTTATGCGAATAGAGAATATTTTTAATTTTAAATGGTAAAACAAAATGTAGAACGAGTGCTTGGTTAGAAAAAAATATAGCTAAATAAATAACCAAAACAAACAACTTTCAAATTTTCGTTTAACGCCGCACAAGCGAAAGGTGCGGACGTTCAGAGCGATGAAATAGCCATATGTCATAAGATGACTTACCCCACCACAACAACAGTGAAATCCAGAATATTCCAACCATTTCTTAGGTAGGACCCCGGGTGAAGCACAAAGCCAAAAGCCATTATTTTCAACAGCGCCTCCACACAAAATATACCAACGAAGTAGTATTCAGCAGCTTCCTGCAGTAAATACAATAAAATATAGAACAGTTCAACACCATCTTTTATCGAAACCAAGGCCTTACGTCACTGAGCAAATGGAGGTTTTCAGGCCTACTCACCAACTGTTGAGCCATGTCTGTGCGATCATTTTTTGGAAGCGGTGTGTTTAGAGCTAACACGATACAATTGGCTCCGATAGCCAGCAAAATAAAATATTCAAACACTGTAAGATAGGTTAAGGATCAAATGAAGTTCTGTGTGAGAAATAACCAGCCAACGGCTTTAATATAACTACACATATTAGGTCTGTAAACGTGAAACCGAATAGAACGATGCGAGCTATTCAACCCCTGAAGGCCGCTTTTGTAGGCATCTCTATCGAGAACATAACTTATAAATACTTAACCCCGCAAGTTATAAACAGTACAACATTGCACAAAAAGGATATTTCGACACCACGATCGATTTTGATAGTTCACGAAGCGGATTAGTTTCTGACAAGCAAAACAAAGCATGTGTGGGACTTCTCGCTTCTTGGAGAAATTGACTGCCGTACAAAGACATAGAGCGCGCCTTCTGAGACAAGTAGGACAAGCGCTCATTGTTATCGGCTGAAGCGTTAGGCATTTCCAGGGACGAGTCGCCTGTCTTCTTTGCTGCTGTTGCTGCATATCTGTCTTTATCCATCCCTGTAGAGAGCACCAAATATTGCGTCAACACTGGTTGTCCGCATTTCAAATTGGTGAACACCGTACAGGTCTTTTGAGCGGGCGGTGAAACGAACACCACGCAACAAAACTAGTCTCAAGACGCGACGTTAACAAGCAGCATAATAAAGCCTTAGTAAATCTTGATGAAATCCCACATCGTAGAGACCTAAATATGCGTGCGTATAAATTGACAGTGCGGTCGCTATTCTCGATGACTCTCTATAAAACAAGCTCATCAGCCTTCAGCCAATGATGTCGAGGCGACAGATTCTTTTCCTCCCCTTTTTGAAACGGACGTCGCTAGCGGTAACCAGCTCGTTCAGAAATTATGGTCCTCTTTCTCGGCTCTCATAACAAAAAAAGTACCGTAGCGAAGTACGCATATTAATCAGTCGATAATACACCTGCTAGTAGCAAGAAAGACCTTACTGGCTATTGATATTCAAATTCGGCTCTCTCCATTATTATAATAAGACATCGAGCTGACAGGCTGCCACCTAAAGTCTTAACCTGTATTTAAACTCCTAGATATAACCTATCGTTCAAACCTCACACGACGAATTTGGCAGTCTTCCCAAAAACAATTTTAGAATAATTTGAGTTTTTACGCCATAGGAAAGCCTTACAGCCATTTTGCCGCTGTTTGTGACTCGTTTATTATTCGAAACGAGTTACAATAGAGTGAAAAGACGACAGATATGAAAACTTGTTTTTCCGTCTTAGTGGGTGAACATTGACCAACATCTGTTCACAAACCGACATTTTTCACGCAAAAATTCTCGTTGTAATTTTTCTTATCTCCCAAAAAAGTAAATTTATAATTTTTCTGTGAGAAATGGCTGACTTAGAACTTTCAATTCATTCATTAACTAATACGAAAAGGACAAACAGCCTTAAAGCTATCACGACATTCGAACGAATAAGTAAAGTTTCGAGTTGCAATTGCAGAGGAAGTTCCCCTATTCTTTCATTTATTAAGACTTGTATAACAAGTAAGCTGTCTACTGTTTAAAGCTATAGCTAACACCCTATTCTAAGTTTTCAATACTAGGATAAACTTAACAGCACACATTTTGTAATAACTCTTGTTTCACTGAAAATTTAACGTATTGTTGCAGGAGACATGAACATAAATTAGCTTTTGATTGAGGTCCGGTCGAAAACGCGATACAATTCAACAGCATCCCCTGAAGAGATTCATAAGCCTAATAAACTAATCTATTTTGGAAGATAGAAGCTGGGTAATAATTCCTCTATTTCCTGGGTTTTCCTTTACCAACAGCAATTTGTTTTCAGGGAAGAAAAATTGAAATTTTCTTTGTCGTGGGGATGCCGTTTTCTTGCCGGAAATGAGTTTTGATGCATCATCTAAATGACTGGGCATGATTCAGAGGAACTGAGATATTTTAAACAAAAATAATTAGAGAGAAAGCTCACAATTTTTTTTTCTTTAACATAAAAGGTTCCCTCTGATAGTAACATAACAACCAATCCTGCTGTACTCGGCTATTCGCTCGTTCAATTATGTCACATTTCAAACGAGTTTTCTCTACCATCATTGCGGAAAGAACTCGCCGCTAATTAGATTTCAAAAATTCAAAGGCAGAAAAAAGCATTTAAAATTAAAATTTTAATGACTTTTTATTCAGCTAGGAGTGACAAACACAATTAGAAAGAAAAGAATGATCACAGAAAAAAGAGGTGGCAAATAGGAAGATGGATAAAAATGAGAGGAGGAAAACACGGAATCAAGTCGAAATTACGTTAATATTCCGTCATGAGAGACAAACACTAAGGAACTGCTTACGAGAAACGAAAATATTTTAATTTCCACGCATACATTACAGACGACTCTATTATCACGAACAGCCGTAGTTCTCCATGGAGTAATGCAGTGAAACGTTCACCACAAATTAAAGAATATACGCTTTTCCTTTTGCTGTGCAGCCTGAACGACTGATTTTCGTGCTAAATTGAATATCACCATATCAATACAAACTATCTGAATTTATCTCCTCTCTCATCTCACTGACCTTAATCTCCGCGGAGAATAGTTTGCCCAGCGATACATTCTGTCGAAAGAAAGAAAGCAAAATTATTAAGTAGAGGCAATGTATCCATACACGAAAATGTGTCGAGAGTTTTTTTTTTTTTATCAATTTCTCTATTGTTTGCAACAGACCTCTTTGCAGAGGTATATGCTAGGCTATTTCTATCTGATTAATCATGAGGAATTTAAAGATAACTTAAATTTCAGCAAAGATCTTATACGTCAGCGACGTTCAGCTCAATAATGATAACAAAAAGCCCACATTAATATTCACAATACAGCGGCCACAAGTTTCATTTGACTATGTTACTTGGCAAGTTACTCATTGAAATTTCACTCCAGGGTATTTGAAATGACACCTGAAATTTGGCGTCACAACAGAATGAGTTGTTTTGTCCTACTCCAAGACGATCTTTTTAATTTACTTGTATATTTGATGAAGTTATTTGTTTGTCTCGGGGACAATGTTCAGATTGTCAAGTGATATTCCCGCGCAAATTCAATGGTGCACTTGCGCGCGACAGATACAAGCCATATAAGGAAATCATGACCAAATTTGAAAGTTATGACGATGTCGTAAATCTTCCCATGGATAGAGATTGGCTCTCGGGGAGGAAATATTTTAAACGAAAAAAAAGCTGTCTACCTTGCTAATTTACCATTTGAGAAAACGCTTATGGCAAAATTTCAGAACAAGAGGGAATTTTAAAAATTCCAGCCGTTTTCATATTATCACAATTTCACACTCTGAAATTTTGTTCGTGCTTGTGTCTTCTGAATATTATTATTGTTATTATCATTATTGTTATTATTATCATTATTCTCGTTATTATTACTTTTACAACAGTTATTATTATTATTTCTATTATCATCATTGTCATTATCACCGTACCCTTTCAGGGCTACCAGCGTGTTTCAGTCAAAAACTAGCATCCTGTAATTCCTGAGTTTTGATTTTTGTTTTCATGCCATGTGACTAAACAAAGCATAATTTTTGCACTGTTCATCACGGATTTTGTAATATCTATATGGGTGATTTTGGTAAAACAAATTGTTCCACTGACGCTGTCTGGAGATGATGGAGTGAACAACGGAATATCAACTAACTGATCCTCCCTTAATATGATAAAGCTGTGGCCACTTCGGAACTATGCACGTAGCTAGTTATCCATCATCTCATATCCAACACGCATTTGAAGGAAAATTGTTGAAATTGTCGACCTAAACAAGCATGCTTTACACTATGCGAAGAAACATAAAGAAAGTAGTGACTTCTACAGAATACTGGGTGAGGTTCCTTTTAGAGATAATACGGCAACAGTGCGAGCTGACTATGGACCTGGTGGTTTCTTTAAAAGTGGTTTGTTCTAAGCTAGTAAATGTTTTCCCTTGTTAGCCATAAACCTTCGTGACATTATTAACTGAAATTACCGCTTCGATTTAACTTTAAGCCATACTTAAGATGGTTTAAAATGTGGTTTGGCTAAAAAGCGACTAAACTTTGTTTAACGCTTTAAACCCTGATAGTGACTAATATCTAATTTTCTTTACAATAGCACTTCTGAATGATTCATTAGGATCATGAGAGTAAAGGAAATTATCGCCAACCTAAGACTGAAGCTTTTATCGATAAACGATTTCTCCTTGTCAGTATCAAAGGCAATGTACAGACAAGAAAATGGAAAACTTGGATGCTGATGTTAAAGGAAAGCCAATTAAATCATGGCGCTATGAGTCTACGCGAATGTAAAAGGTTTCGTGACTCTCTCTCACACTTCTCAAAATTTGATTCGAAAAATCATCTTGTAGTTCTCCACATGATGCACGATCAGCTCTTTTCTCTGGATTCTACTGAGTAAACCTTAAGCAAAAAATTTGAAAGCCCCGCATGGCGCCCATCATTTTTTTCTGCACCTACAGCGTGCAACATTACACAAAAATTGTTGCCTTAGTAAAATTTTATATTACACGAATTCTAGCCTTTAGCAACATGCATTAAAACTAAGTTCAAATTAAAGCACGACATCCTGAATAACTGTTCAGAATAACTGAACACTCAATGATGGATGTAGCAGAACACCAATATTCTAATAATGTTTTACCTTTCATGCGTTAAGTCCGTTATCTACTTTGGCCCGCACGGCACAGTGCAGTAGTAATGTGTTACGTTAAGTAACTTCCCCTTTTAATCCACATCTTAAGTCAAACTCAGGAACTTGAGTAATTCTTTTCAATGGAAGAACAATATTAACGTCGTCTTTTTAGTTCCTGTTTGGTTTATACCAATATCATGTCTTAAAGTAAGATCTCTCGACTGATGTCCGTGTGCAGATCCTAAGGAAAGGCTGTAAGGCTGTGTACATATGAACATTACAGGTTGCATGCATTGGGTTCTTCCCACGTATGAACGCCATTCACATGACCGACTCATGATTCTGACAACATGGCAAGAACAAAAAATTATTTTGACATAACAGAACCCTTCACATTCTATTCCTGAAATAATTAACAAATAATGACTTATCTAAGGCGCTCCAAATGCACAATTTTTAGCAGACCGCACGCTTTTATGCGAAAAATTCACACACGCAAACATTAGGAAGGCTAAATCGTTTGTTGTATCTCCACTAACTGCACATAAACAACTGTAGGTTCTTAATTCGTGTTTTTATCAGTCTTCTACAGTTAAATTTTTCATTTTCTCTCTTTTTATTCCGTAGAGATGTTTTCATGAAACAAGATAATTGACTATCTCGCAATTTTAAGTTAAATGAATGTGCTTTTGTTAAAAGAGTGTTTTGCGTCATCACAGAAGGAGACTGTCTGGCGATAAAGCATTATTAAATTTTAACCCACACTAAAAAAAAACAACGAATCAAGATCAATTGTACATGGTCACGTTCAAAGCACACAAGTTCTTTGGAAGATTTCAACCAAAGAGCCTACACGAGGAAAGAGAATCCCCCTCAATCATGAAAAAGAGATTTTATTTTTTTTGGAGATATTTTTCAAAGTTATCTTCAAAAGATATTTTTTAAGACTCAATTAATCTGAAAGAAGTTTTGATAACAATATCAAAATTCATTGTAACAATCTATATATTGGTCACTTATGCTTGTGTTTCAATCGTCCGAAACGAGGCTTGCCTTCGTGGCGTTTTCTCTCTGTGTCGCATCCTGTTTTGACTTTTGACGAAGTAAGTAAACATGGATTTTTAATTCTCGAAACAACATTTAAATTCCACCAAACTTCCTGCATGGCTTGACTTCCGATCAGAGACTAAAAATAAATGAAATTCAAAGTGTTTCTTAACGGGCTTCCAAGTGAGGTGTTCATGTTCTCTCAAAGGGAAAAATATATTTGTAAAAAAGGAATATTTAATTGCAACAAGAATACCTTGTCACTAATTTCATTGGTGGTCAGTAAACACAGACTCGATGGAGTGCAAAGTACGGAATACGTAGGTAGTTCATCATAATTGCTTATTCACTTTGAAAACAATGGTCCGTGGAACCAGCTCTTAATGATACTGATTTCCATAAGCAAACAACTGTCAAGTCCCAAAATAGCACAAAACCACAAAACTGAATCTCACCGACAACAAAATAAACCCAAATTTAATTTTTCGTGGTTTTGTGTGCTGACTCACTCCGGCAAGTGGGTAACCAATTAGGTTTTCCATGTTGGGTCTGTTAGCCGCAACAGCCTGGAGACTGATAACGACGGCATTTAAAAACTGTTCAGTAAGATACACTAATTTAAATTGGTCATTACAAAAACGTTTATAGCTAATTTAGTTGTCAGAGATCTTTCCAATGATAATTACAGAAAAACCACGCCAAGTTCTTGCTTAAAGTTGCAAAGCTTAGACTACAGTCTTAAGAAGACTTTAATTTTTCATCAAATAAAGGTATAATGCTTTTGAAGGTTTGAAAATTTTGTGTTACCGCTACCATTTTCTTTTGTAAAAGCCGACGAAAGATCTCTGTATTTCATGAATTCGAAAAACTCTGAAAAACATTGCAGAAATGCACCGGAAGGTGTGAGGTCCAGAAAAAAACCCTGAATACAGAAGGCTGGACTACTAAACCCTTAACAAAGATCCTGGTGAATACGAAATTACCAGCATCCAAGAGTGCAGTTTAAAAAAAATACACTGTTGTTTAAACTCTGTATATCCCACAAAAAAAGGCATGCAACGTCGTGCTAGCTATTGTTCGATCACTTGAGCTCTCAAAGAATTAATCCACCAAAAGGCCAGTTGGGTATTGATCAAGAATATTTGTTTACGTTAAACATCGCTATAAACTTGTTCTGCAATGTCAACGTTTCAAGCACGAAACTTGACTTCATCAACTTTCTGAGTAAAAGCTGTTCTTTAGGCACTGTAGTATATGCCGTCAATTCAAAGAGAGGAAATTAACATGAAAAACTCTGTGCTGGTGACCAATGTGTACAACTTCTACTTCAATCCAACCTTAAACAGCACGCACGCTCGATGAACATTCGACAAGTTTCGTAGGCAAGTACTAAGCCCTACAAAAACCCGAAATGTCCTATATGGCAATGGCTAGGTTAGCAATCAAAACAGGGATTTTTGCGTCGCGGGATGCTAAATGGCACAAAAGAAAATAATCTTGGTCGCACACAAAACGGATAAAAACAATTCACTTTAAGTTAATACTTGCAACGCTTGCAACTCGTTTCAAAATTAAGATCATGTCGTGTGTTTAGCTATATCTTAAAATACGATTTTAAATTCAGTGTCGAAAGTTTGTCGGGAAGACCGATGATTTAACATTACCTGTGACTTTAAGACTTGTTGATAAACGAAGTTCTTTGCTCCGACAAACGAAAACAGTAGGAAAGATCCCTTTTGAATGGTGATAAGCTTGGTGTGATTTTTTCGAGGAGGTTCTAGAACGCATCTGTTTAAAGACACAAAATATTTGAGTCAGTGCAGTATGTTACCCGGTCGTCAAAATTGTTGTCACGAGGCAATTAACTCCGCATTTAAAGTGACACAGAGAATATAGAAGAAACTCTTGCCTTTCACATCATCAGAGCTGAGTCAATTTTTATCTTGTCTCGATGGCCAGGAGATTTTAAGACAGAATTCTTCCAACTTTTACATACTCTTACATAGAAATACACAACGTCCCTTTTAACCTGTTACATAGTTCGCGCTAACTTTCATGTCGAAATCATTGACCGTAAAAACCATTTAAATGCAAATTTCTTCTTTACCCAAATGATAACAGACGGAATTTGAATATTTGTAGAAAAAAAATTGTTTTGAATTTTTGCGAGATTCCTTCGCCTATGGATATTCATTTCTTGAATTAATATCGATTATCCGCATTTGCAATAAATTCAAGGATGTTGGCCATCTGCGATTGTAATTTTCACAAGTCCGACAGAAGAGTGATAAAATTATTATTCTTGGAATTATCAACCACAGTTGACCTTCACACTGCTTACAAGTTGATGCAGACTTTTAAAACAAATTCCACGCTCAAACAAACATCTCCTCGGAAACATTTGAAATTTGCAGACAACAAATAAAACAATGAATCTGACAAGAAAAAAAAATTTTTATCATTTAAATTGTCAAATTTTATTATTATTTTTTTATTTTGGAGTTTATGCTGGCATGAGCAAAACACCTTCCCTTCAACATAGAGTGCACATCGTTATTCAAATCATCTGTCTGGCAGAAGTCCTCAAAACAAACTCACACAGCATGTGTAGAGGACACAAGACCCGTAATGAAAGAAAAACTTTCCTAATGAATAATGATTTGCTGCCAAATGCAAAAGATGTTCCTTGTTCATTTCCACAAGAGAACGAGAACTGCTTCAAGGGAATTGAGGAAAGTCAGTCAAGACTGTTTCATTCTGAATTTCTAAGATTACAACAGCAAGAGAGCAAACCCGTTGTTTTTTCATACAGTGCTATGAACAATCTTTAGCGGTATATGAATTTTTACTCAATGAAAGTTCAGAGGGATGTTTTTAATTTGTTCCTTCATCGATTTTCTTGCATATTTGGCATGATTTTTTTAGGGCTAACAAACACCAGACAACAATTTGCAACAAGTAGTGCCGCTGAATTGCTTCTCATGGCATGGAGAAATTTTGCAAAGATCGTCATTTCTGCGAAAGAACTTTCTTTTTGCAATAAACTAACTAGTAGTAAGAGAAAATAAAGTTTTTTAAAAATCTTTTGGTCGTGGGTCATTGATTTTAAAGAATAACACATGAAGCGGTTTCTCGCCGAAATTGTTGCAGTGACAATTCGGATCGTGTATTTGATAGCAAACTACCAAAACTGGGCTTTTGTGAGACATCGGCTGAATACTGTGAGAACATTACGTCTTCGTCACATAAAAATACTTAATTGTGTCAACCGCCTACTTGGAAACGTTAGACATGGACCGAGGCAATCAATAAAGGGTCGGTATCTTTTCACGGTGTCCTACAAAGATTCTTAATGACGACTCTGTGGCAATGATCGACGTGGCGGAAAAACAACAGCCGCTTTAATGAAAACTAATGAAAAATAGTCTGCCATTCATAAGCCATATATTTGTCTTGGGCTTTATTTAAAAATGAAAGAACTTGTAAACTGGGAGATAAGAGACGCAGTATTTTGAGCTAATATGATGATGATGTTGAGCTAATACTGCGAGTTTAACCAGTATGAACAATGGTTATATCGCAGAAGACGCTTCCGCACAGGGTCGTTTGGTCAACAAAAAAACAATAAACAAACAAATACACGCCTAGCCCTGCACACCGAAACGAACGGAAAACGGGACACTTTCACAAGACAAGAAGGATAAAAGCCTTCGCAAGAACTCCGAGTTAAATTTCAAAAACACTTTAATCGATGCAATTTTAAAGTATATATATACAAATGACATTTGCTATGTATCAGTGATCCCGCACAGAGGTTTGGACTAGTAACATGTATGTACTCACGGTAAAAAGAATAACCTCACAGCAAAAGTTAACAACTCACGGCTAGAGAAATCACCTTGTTATTTCTTTCGAGTGAGTCTTTTCTTTTTGCCGTGAGGTTTTTTCTTTTGCCGTGAGTCTTTTCCTTTTTGCCGAGAGGTTCTTCCTTTTGCCGTGAGTCTTTCTTTAGCCGCGAGGCTATTTCTTTTGCCGCGAGGTTATTTCTTTTGCCGTGACAGTTGTGGGTCACCGTATGTATGTGAATAAGTTGGGACCAATATCTTTTCGGATAATCTGACAATTTTCACTGGAATTACTAACAAGGTCTATCAGATTCGCTCTGTCGGAGATCAATCGGACGTCCACAGCTTGAATGTGCGATCGAAGGAGCTGGACACAACGTACTGACCATCTGAAATGAAGGAACAACTTTATAAGAACACAGAGAGACAGTTGCAGCGCCTAATGTGCGATAGTTTGCGAGCATAGTATGAGCCCTTGAGCAACACAAGTCGGCCATAAGTTTACAGGGAGTCTTGCACTGACAATCACTAGTGCTTAATCAGTAGTGCCAGGCCCCCAGCAAACTTCTCCCCGACTCATCTCAACTCTTCCCAAGGGCGTAGAAACGCGCGTCCTACAGCACTAAGAATGAGGGCCTGCCCTCGAAAACAAACGAACATTTTGAAAGAATCTCCCGTAAAATTTTTTCAAGTACTGTAACAGTTCAGACACTCTATCTCACAGAGTACAGACCTGGTGAAACATCGACACAGCTTATTTTCTGTTCATGACCTGTCAGGGTCTTGAGAGGCGACCAGCCAGGGTGGGACCAAACCTGAAAATGAAATATGAACTTAACTAAAACAGTTAAACTAAAAATTGTAAACTTAACACTGCAAACTAAACAATAGCTGAAATTTCGAGCGTTAGTCGTCAACTTCAGATACTCAGACTCAATAGCGACCAACTCACATCATTGACTCAGTTGATAAAACTGATTTTAGATTCCCCCTTTCCCCTCCCCCCACAGATGCAGTACCCCTCCCCCCACAGATGCAGCACCACAGTTTCTTTAGAAACTTACCCCTTCTATATTTAATCTATATTTCTATACCCCCTATAAACTAAACAATGGTGATGTTTTCACGACGCCGCATGTCTCACTTAACAATCCTGACATTGGTTTGCTTACAGAAGTTGTTCCCTTGTGGCTGAATGCTTTGCATTTCTAACGACGTAAGGAAGAAATCTTATCTTGAACTGCTTACGTGGATCATTTGAAGAAGGACTTCGAAAGCATCCGAGATCGAGACAGATAATTGTCCAACTTATTTTGCGGGAGAACGCGTACTCTCTTTCCGATTTGACGGCTTCATCAGATGGAAAAACCGCAAGTTCCCCCTCATTGGCGAAAATCCACTGCCAATTCGCTTAAGCTACATGGTTTGGTGGCTTGAACTCAAAGACCATTGCATTTTGAGTTTGGCGACTAGCTTAACTTGAAGCGCGTTGGAGAGCAGCTGATTTCAAGATATTTTTGGTAGTCGTTCGCAAAGCAACTTGAAAAAACGCAAGTGAAAACACGGCCATTGTAAACTGAAACAGTGTAGACCACACAATGTAAATTTGACAGTGTAAGCGAATAAATGCAAACTAAACAGTGTGAACTGAAAATTATGAAAAAAACCTTGTCAACTAGGCTAAAACAATACAACTATTCTTAGGTAAACAACTTTAAGTACTGATGAGAAAAGAAATGAATGATTAAGACCACTTTCTCTCAACCGAGATATGTAATCCTCCCTCTAGGTAATTCTTGTGCTATACAAGAATTAACATTACGTTATTCGCGACACGAGACCTAAAGGCTGGGAAAAATAAAAAACACTAAAAGCTTCTCCCTCGCAAGCCATTTTTTCCAGCTACAACTTCATCCACACACTCACGAAAACAGTAATCTATTTTTATTGATCAACTCTCCACGCCCCAAGAATGAGCACCATAACAACATTCATTTACTAAGTTACCTTTACTGTTTTGTCGTAGGATGCCGAGACCAAGAAGTCTTCTACAAAATGAAAGAAAGTATTTAAGACAACTCAATAGACAAACTAAAGTGTGGTCCCTGAAGAAATATGAATAGACAGAAGAGCCATAAGTGACGGGGTTGGTGAAGAACACATTGCAAAAAAATAACCGGTGATCATGTCATTTACAGCCTTCCAAGAGATCGTAAGAGCCACTCGAACAGCGTACATAATTCGGCTTATCGTATAATAGATCATAGATCATGGATAACAACCAATCGAAACTCATGCTGAATGAAGCATTTTTCAAACTAATTGCAGATAACATGGCTTACCTTGAAACTTGACGTGTGATATAAGGTTGGTGTGAGCAGGAATAGTGTACACACACTGCCTCTTCCTTAAGTCCCAAATCATAATTTTCTGATCTTCACTTCCAGTAGCTACACGATATCTGATACAAAGAGGCCATTTTACAACTTCAAATTCCTTATACAAGAAGGCCTCAAAGTCCAAGTACACGCACAAGTTTATACAATTTTATCCGCATTACTTTGTTACCGTTTTTAAATGGTTGATATAAATTCTTCATTCGTATGTTATATTAAAATAAGCAGATTTAAGTCTAATTTACATCTAGCAGCACCTCTCTCAAAATGACGGTTTTCTGTCACTTACATTACTTTCTGTCACTTTCTTACATTAGTTTCATTTCCCTCGATGTGTTCAGATTGCTCGCGCGAACGCGTTTGGTCTTAAAGCAAAAGAAAATTAAACACAACAATTGCCACTGAATTCACGAAATTCATCGCAGTTTCCTTTATTTGGATTGTCTAAAGACGTGTTCGCGAGCCTGCTGGTCCTATAACCTTTCTTTTTTGGGCGATAAACAAGAAAAATGTTTCATGATGCAGTCGTGAACCAACACTCGGTAGCCAATCAGAACAAAGTATCAACTTCATCTTAATAGCTCGCGGGGCTAACCATACGATAATTTGATATGTTTGGCATATTTTGCTTTGTTTTGATTGGTTATAATTTCTTTGGTTTAAGGTTCACGCATGCGTAGACACCCTATGGATGGGTGTTCTTAGGCGTAACTCACCCGTCAGGTGCAAAGTCTATTCCTAGCACTTTTTTCAGATGTCCATCCAATCCCATAATACACTGACCTGTTCTAAGGTCCCATACCAGGCCCCGCGCATCGAGGCCACTGAAAATATAACAGAAAGCAGCTATTTTGACTCGAACTGTACGCACAACAAAAGGTATTTAGGTGAACTTCATTAATGCCATCCAACATTGCCTCCTCTGTATAAATAATTGTTACTTAACTCCTATTTGCTGTTTTGACAGCAAAAAATGGTTTGAAAGAGCACAGGAGTAGACTTTTTACATTGGAGAAAAACGGGCATTGAATATGACATGGTTGCCACAGAAACTCTATTCAAAACTCCCTGATGAAAATAGAATTTCCCTGACCAAACAAGTAACATACACGAGCAACCCCTAAGCTCTTCACACATCCTTCCTTTCCACCCACTGATTTTTTTTTTTCAATAAATCACGACAGAGCATTTGTAATATCGCCTTAACCAAACAAATTGGACTAAACCAAAAACATTGTCCATCTCAAAATGATGAAAAAAGAAAAGGCCTTCCACCCATCCAAAGCATTTACACTGTGGTGTCATACTCTCAGTTATCCCTGAAATTCCTAAAATTTTCCAACTCAACCAAAAATTCCTGACCCCAGGACTTCTGCTCATCCCTTTGACAACCATGACAAAATCTCTGGTGAATATAAACTAGCAACTGGATAAGTAATGATAAACCATACCATGTGGCTGCAAGTGAGCCATCAACCTGAAATGCAATACTGTACACCTCTCTAGAGTGACCCTCCTACAATAAAAACATTCACAAACCATCAAATAACCATTATCAAAAGATCAATCACTTGGGAATGGAGTAAATGGAGTAGTTTTGAATACCTGATGGAGAACCTCTTTTAGCTGTTCCAAATCCCATAACCTCCAGGAGTGATCAAAACTACACAAACACAAACATCCAGGAATTGAAAGAAAAGCAGACTTATATTTGTCTGACAGTCAAAAAACAAAAAACCATGGATTGAACTACTGGACTGACAGAAGGTAACACAGCTTACCAACAAGATGCAAGAAAGCGTCCTGATGGATGGTAAGCCACATGGGACACACGCTTCTCGTGTCCCTCAATGTTTGCAAGTGGTGTGTCCCTAAACAGATGATGGGAAAAGGTACCATGTAAGTATCAACCTTTTCACTTCCTCTATTAACCCTTTACACCCTAAGATCCTTGTGCATATTCTCCACACTGTTTTGTATACATTTCCTATGGTGCTAAAAAGGAGAATTTGTTTAACGGTCAAAAGCTCCTTTAGTTGGGGATAAATTTCTTGTATTCTCATGACCTTAATGTTTGATTCAGCAGTGATACAGTTGGGAGAAATTAACTGCTTGTCACTCTAATGACTTAAAGGCTTTTTCTTCTGGCAAGATTAGAATTCACACTGATGATGACTTCTGATGAGGTTGTCAAAACCTCAGTCACTGCAACCAACAACAGTTCTTCTCACTACCAACACTCAGACTACACCATCAAATTAGATTGCAGAGCCAGGAAGACAAGTGATGATGATAAAGAAAATCATTAGATAGTATCATCTACTGTGTGATTCCATACATGTTCAGTGACCACAAAAGCACAACACCATCTGCATCACAGGATGCCATGCAAGGTCCTGATTCATCCAATGACAGTGTAGCTTGGGGATGGAACACAATGGAGCCAACACGCTCATTATGACCTACAAACATGCATAAACAAAAGCATCACAATTTTTTAGAAAAAAAATTGCTGGTAGTAAGGAGAATTTCCAAAAAATATCAACAATGGAGAGAAAAAGAGCAAGAGTACCAAAAAATTCATGATTAATTGTTGCCCAATTCACAGCCCAAATAGACAAAAATTGAGCCACATTGTATTAGGAGAGAATTATTTAAATAAAAGTTTATGTGAAAAGAAAACTATGGCACTGTAGGTTAACTTTCAGTGTTTGAAAATGGGAAAGAAAACAATTAATTATTGGAAATTGCAGATTCAAGGCCATTTATGGTACTCAAAGTTTGAAAGTAACCAAAACACATAACAACATTTATCATACAAGTGGTACCTCGCAAAACTGCTATTGGTTCACAGTCAGGAACTGACCACAGCTTACACAAGCCACTCCTAACAACCAAAAAAGGGACAATAAAAATAGTGTTAGTCTGCTATAACATGCAGGATACTTGCCACATACAAATCTAGTTTTAGGCCATACCCACCACTGAACTTTCTGTAGCTCAGTGGAAGAACATCAGGCCATTAAATCAAAAGGTCTGGTTTTCAATACCTTGTTGGGGATTCATACTTCCCATGGTTATGAAAAAGCAAATGAAATCTTCCGATAAAAGGTTATGTGTAGTATGGAGCTTTCACTATAAATAGGATTACATGTATGTCTGCTCAAAACCTACCATGATGCAGTGGCTAGCATGGATGAGTCTGGGGAGAACTGGCAGTAAGACAGTGGTCTATCATCACCAATCTGACTACAAAAGTTGTTCAGACCCTGCAAAACAAAATGTTTTCTTTTTTTAATAGAACCAAACTAACCACCTCCTTGCTTTCAAGATATTGTGCACACAAACCCGCAGCTTCCGATGTAACTCCTGTGTCTTGGCAGCCTTTTCTGGATCAGGTCTAGCTTGCTTGATACGCATTTGCTTTAATCTTTCACAAGCCCTGCAAATCCAAGACGTATTTTCAGTAAACCAAAAATCTATGTAAATTAGATTTTTGACAACTACAAGGTGAGAAATGTGTACACAGACCAAAAGACTGACAGACAGACAGAGCAACTACATAAGAATGATGAAACATAAGAAGTACACAAATAAAGGTACCCTATATGTTAAACTACAATACATCATGACATTCATGTCAATACAAAATGGCCTATGTTTAGTGAGATGAACCCCATCTTAAGATAAACAAATTTACTCCAAGGTCAGTGTCAACGCTCAGTGTCCTGAATTAGTATAATCACATGACAGGTTGACTTGAGTTGGTTCAGAAAAAGCCGTCCTTGTGCGCTTACATAGCTTTGTTACAAAAAAAAGAGAGAGAAAGACACTTTGTTTACTTCTAATGTAAAAAAAAGAGTAACAAAATTGAGAAAACAAGTCACGTTTTTCAATGAATTGCGATTTTCTTGTTCTGACTTGAAAAAATAAAGGAATAGTTTTTATTGTAAAATCTTTTTATGTGTTTTTCCCTTGCACACCAGTCTATTCCATCCCATTTAAATGACAACAAACTTCTTGAATTTTCCAAAACCTATTCAGTAGCCTCATGATAAAATACTTATTGACTAAGTTAGGTCAGGCTAGATGGGAAAATATTTTACTATTCATGAAGTATGGATCTTGCTACATTTGGTCTGTTTGCCATAATCACGAGCCAAATATTTTCCCATCCAGCACTCCCACTCAGTCAATTAGTACATATTATGTCCTGAGCATCTGAATGTGTATGTTAGAGCTGGCAAGATGTCAGGAAAACCAAGTAAGATATTATGTGGGATAATGGAAAATTTTGCAGGCATTCATTTTGAAAGTCTACTACCCTCAATCAATCAAAACACCATGTATAATAGGGGTCAAGTGTCAAATTGTATGCTATCTGTTCAGACTCATTCAAACTTCCACCCATGATTCATCAACCAAACAACTTCTCAGTGCATACCTTGAAAAGTTATTGAAAATTTGCATGTCTTTTGGCATGATACTAAACCCTGTGGTACCAAACTTTATTGTTTAGAAAAAACCAAGAGAAGGACCATAGAATGAAATCATGAAAATTGGTTAACAGCATGAATTTCTTTGTCATCTTGACCAGCCCAAAAATCGTTCCTATATATTGCAAAAAAAGACTGTCTATCCAAATTTAAATAAGTCTTCAAAAGTTTTTTCCTGATTTACGTATTCTAATCAAATTGCAATGGGTCAGTGACAGTGACTTACCGAGGTAAAGAGTATTTAGCCATCCATAATCGAGCTATTTTGAGTTCAGGATCTCCTTCATGATACCAGACTTCTTCCTGAACTTCCTGACAAAAAAAAAAGTAATGTGAAATCAGAAGACATTTCTCATTACACCCATAACATGGCTTATATCCTAAGACTCTAAAAGTTCATTCAGTTTTCATCATCTTCTTCTATGAAACCTGGCCTCTTTCACTTAGGTTTCTGAAGTATTAAATTCTGAGATGTTGCATGAATCTCCAAAAACATTCCCAGCCATATTGCTTACTCCAAAACAAGCCGTGTGATTTAGCCATTAAGAAATACAGCTCAGGCAAGCTGTCCTTTGACAACATTTTTTGTCTATTTTGGTGACCAAATTTTATTCCTGGCAACCATTTTAACACCAAGTATTTGTTCAAAAAAAATGCACTTAATCCGCAACAAAGAAGTTACAATTCAATTAATTTAAAATCCTTTCCATAAAGGCATACTTACTGGTTCCTGTTTTGACTTCTCTGCAACTTCCTTATTTCCAAAGGATACATCTTCACCTGTTTAGAAAACATTTTGCAATGTAAACCATAACAAAATCCTCCTTATTGCATCTAAGCATGCATGCAGATAATCATCAGTTCACAATGTATTCAAGTATGCTTTCATTCAGATAAACAAGATTTTACAATAATTACTTAATTCTTACCAAGTTCAGACAAAAGGATTCTCAATCTGTCTCTTCTCTCTGGAGGACCTTCTCCAAACAAAGCTGCAAGGAAAAACATTAAATTATTAACAACAAGATGGCCTAAAGTTTTATCCTTATTTAAGCATGCCGAATTCACACCATATTAACCCTTTACAACCTAACTGTAACATCAGTAAGCATATTCTCCATAAAATTCCTATACATTTCCTTCGGTGCTGACAAAGAGAATGCGTTTAACAATCTTCTTTTGTTGGTGATCATTTCCTTTATTCTTGTCAGTTTAATGTGTGGTTCAGGGATGAAGAAAAAAAATAGATGCTAATTACTATTTGGGGTAAAAGGGATAAAATAACTTACTTATTGGTTCTCCAATTTCTCGGAGTCTTGCCTTAACTGAAGCATCATCTGTTGGTACAGTTATTGCCCGTGCCTACAATAAAACACCATCACAACTTTTTTACCATGTCATATCATAAAGAACTCTAACTCTAAACAAGTTAACAAAAAAGTGCTTCTAGCCACCAGAGAGAAACTGAGTCTATTACGTTTTCTAAAACTTAACACAAACCAAGTCTATGGTCTCAAATGAATCTTCTGAGATGTAATGTAATCTGCAGTGTTACCTTTTTTCTTCTCTCAAATTCTGCCAAAAGTTCCTGATGTCTCTCACTGGTCTGGTCTTCTGACAGCTCAAGGTATTCTCCTGTTTTATTAAGCGGAAAAAATATAAGTAATATCTAAAACTAAATGCAGAAATAATCAATAATGAAAGATAAAAATTCCAGCTGTTAATTCCACCTTTTCAAAATCTTGTCTGAGTTGGAAAAGAGAAAGAAATACAGGGCCATAATCGTGCCCTTACTCATCCAAGTAGTGACACTTTGTGGCAAAGATAGACAATCTAGTTTTAAATGTATATGGTGACTAGTTTATAAAGAAATTGTTATTCCAACTGAATAACAAAATTTAAATGAGTAAACAAAATTTAATTTTAGCAGCAGCAAATCCACAGAGTAGTCAGATGGTTATTTGGATTGTTGGTTTTCATAGAGAGGGGAAAATCGGGAACACAGAGAAAAACCATGAAGCAAAGATGAGACCCATCAACAAACCAAGGCTATGCCTGGTGTCGGCTTTGGAAATCAAAGCAAAGCCAGATATATGGAAGGTGACTGCTCTCATAAAACAGAATTCCTTCTCCATCAAAATACATTCACACATGTACCTTGGAAAAACATGGGTCCCACACTTTTTCCAGAAAACCACAGAATCTTATTGTCATTTGCAGTGATTCTAGAAATCTCATTTGTAGTATGTTCATATTGATCTAAAAGTTGTTTTCAAAGCTATCAGTCTTGGACTTGTCCTCACAATGAAGAGTATCAATCAAAAGGTACAGTAACTAAAGTTTGTTGGTGTTAAATCTTTCCAAGCCACTGAAGTCTGTTTATAGACCTTTGCATGACTTGAACACATGCAATGATCCTTAAAGATGCTTCAGTAGTGCTAGGGAATAATCCAGTTGAAGTATTTAAGCATCTGTCTAAAAAACTGACACCACCTTTTTATGTTCCTACAATAAGTGTCAACATTAGTTGACATATCATGTTTAAACAGTCCTGTTTATGTGTATAACAACACTCCTGTGTCTACCACACTCTTGATCATTAACAAGACCACCCCTTCCTATTCAATGTTACCTGTAGCTAAAAAAAGTTCATGGAATCCCAATACAACATTGTTTGGGAGGGGGGGGGAGGGGGCAAATAGGTTAACCTAACAAGAGCAAAAGAGATAAAATTGAAGTAATAGGGGTTGAAAAGGTCAATGCGTCGACAAGTTTGTCACCGGTTATTGATAAGGAAGCAGCACTAGAGTGAAGGACCTTGCACATGAACAACCACACAACTAAGTGATCCTAGCCAGGTGTTGAGCAGTATGAAACATGTCTAGTTCCCCAACAGTGCCCAATATTTTTATCATAAATACATGTAAGCAATGACAAATATTTATAAGCAGGATTCTCTGTTAAAACTGCGATGAACATGCCATAATTTGTGTCACAAGTTTCTCTTGATGCAAGAGAGTGATACTGTAGGAATTTGTGATCTTGAGACCATAGCAGCAAAAGCAATGACAGATATTGATATGTACGATGCTGTGCTTATTCAGTGCCACACATTAATACTGTAAGAATCTGTGATAAAGTCAAAGTCTGCCCATATTACACGGTGATTTTAAAACCACGACAACTCCACGCTATATACAGTAATGTCGTCGAAAAAGTAAGACACTAGACTTATTTACAAGCTGCAGAATAATAATTACCAGCTTACCTTCGGAAATATTTATATTTCCCGCTCGAATTCCAGCTAAGACAGCCGCGGACACTTCGTTGTCCTCACCCTCGGCTTCTTGATCGTCATCATCTTTTCTATCATCATCATTATCGTTGGACGATCCAGTGACCAGACGTTCTCTTTCTACAGTTTCAAGGCTTCCAAAGTGAATCCTTTGTTTTTTGACCGCTGGGGCCAAATCTTCGTCGTCTGACATGGTTGGTTTTCACAAGCAAATTGTCATAATTTTGATTTGCAGCACGAGGGTAATGGCTTGGGGACCGCGCTAAACAAATTAGTAGCCAAGCCTTCTTGTTATCGTCTGAACCTTGCTATGTGCTGACAAATCATTTGGGCCTGTGAGTCTCGATTCAAAATGTAGTTTCCGCGATACACAGGAGGATGCAACGCTCGTAAAAACTGGTTTACAATGTCAGCTGTTCGGGTTTTGGTCCGGTCACTTTTCAGGCAAATTCATAATATCGGTAAACCATTCTGTCGTTACTTTCTACTAGTTAATTTTTTGTTTGTTATGACGTTGTTTCCGACCCTTTCAGTTTCATTATATTTCGTTTCCTTTTCGTTATTCGTTTTTCCTGTAAGTTTGTTGATGTGACATAATGCTTTCAAACGATTAGGACAAGTTGCAGCAAGATCAGGCTATAACAGTGCTGGTGAATTCGCAGCAGTTAGCAGTGTTGCTAACGGCCAGTCAGCACTCATTCCACGAGCTCCAAAGAAAAATGTTGGTGTGTTCGCAAGAGGTCTTTGGAGTGGTTTTACTTCCAGAGTAGGATCAGTCTCTCAAGCTGCCTCCCTAAGGCGTAAGTTTGAAGCCCTTTTATATTTGCGATCTTTACGTTCATATCTTTAATACGTAATGTTGATCAAGTGTTAATCACACTGCTAGTAGTGAAAATAATACGTACATGCATTGTTATGAACAGAACGTTCTCTTCAATTCTTGCTATCTAATGTTCATGTCATCTTTCTTTTAATTTAATTAAGTTCAGATAAGATCTGTTCTAACCAAGGTCCAAGTCAGGAAGAATTATGTCCAATATTCCACTAATCTTCATTAATCCTTTATACTTCCTCTAAATTTCTATATTAACCTTTAGTCTAATTCCAACATTGGATTTATAATTCTAGGTTCAGGCCTCTATATTTTTCCTTTTAAATAATTTAGGAGATTTTCACATTACATCCAGATGACTTACCATTATGTTTCTTTAACCTCGTCATTTGTTTGTAGCATAATGTAAAGATGTTGTGAAATTTTCTTATTGATCACCACATAATTAACTGACTTAATTTGACATATGCAAGAGGTTGCTAACTGAATAATTAATGAATTTTTTTTTTTTGTTATATATATAGGAATGGCAATTGCCCGCATGCTCAGAGGTTGTGGACCCAAATCCCCTATGTTTGCCTTCCTTGGGTTTGCAGTTGCAATTTCAAGTAGGTTTTTCTTTTAGTTTTTAATAACCTGAAATTTACTTCTTAAGAGGAAGATTTCACAGCTTGACATATATGTACAGTTACTCACATATGTGTAAGTTGTTTTAACAACAAAACCTTTGCAAAATAAGGGGGGGGAGGTGAATTATAGAAAACCTACTAATTTTATCAAGGCAATGTGAGAGAATGAGGAAAAAGTATCCCTTGGAGGACAAGGCTGAATAGTTTTGGGACATGACTCTTTTAATTGTTGCAACTCTGCTCACTAAAGGATTTCTCAATGACAGACTTGTAAATGGTAGCCTCAAGTTTTGCTGAGTATGTGAGCCAGATCTCTTTACATCACAGTTCACCCTTAGAAGGATGTTTATTCCAAACACTTTTAATTTTTTTATAATGATCCCTCCACATCCATGTGTAAGTTACTTGGGTAAAGTAACAACCATTTTTGTTTCTGCAGGTATAAAATGGTAGAATTGCACCACGTTCGCCCCCTATCGAGTTCGCCCTTACCTTATGCCATGTTCGCCCCCACACTTTTTGAGTTCGACCCCATCAAGTCGAGTTCGCCCCTTGATTGAGTGATATCCAGATGAGTTGATTTGTGACGAAGGCACTAGCAGAATGTGCCAAATGTCACGTCAGCAACGACCATTTTGAATTTTGGCAATTGCGTGGAACCTGCTTGGGAACTGGGTTGATGGAATCAACTAAATACTCCGCATGGGATCTGGGGTTACCAGAAATAACTGTATACACTGAACTTGTGATAAAGAGAACCACACGGTTTATCTAACGAACACGAAATGTGTTGATCATAACAACCAGACTTGAGAAGACGCAAACCACGCTTTCATCGCGACAGCATTGCTTAAGTTGTTAGACTTGTACCCGTTTAGCTTTCTTTATGAAATTAACACTGAAGAATTTACTCATCAACTTATGAATCAACTCATCTGGATATCACTCAATCAAGAGGCGAACTCAACTTGATGGGGTCGAACTCGAAAAGTGTGGGGGCGAACACGGTATAAGGTAGGGGCGAACTCGATAGGGGGCGAAAGTGGTGGATACCAAATGGTACATGTCGTATAAGTTCTTATGTGCTAGTCTTTTTGAACTTTGTATCAACATTACCCTTGGATATTGTATTTTCAATAGGTGAAGATGGACAAAGAAAAGAACCATATAAAAAACTACATCAGATGGCCCAAAGAGCTCTTTTGACTAAAAACATGTTTGCAGAGGTACAATAAATTATCTTTCAGTTAAGTGATCTTGTTCATTTAGACTGTATAGTCATAATAGCTAAGTAGTGTAGTCATATTAATTAGCATCTGTGGTGAAAGGACTAATTACTGCTGACTGTTAGGATTTAATGTAACTGTGCTGTTTGGAGTCAGATGAACAACAAAACCATAGGATTGACTGTGAATCAAAGCACACTTCTCACAACAAGATGGCTGGTTCACTTTCATGTCCCATAGTTCTTTTCGCTTGTATAGGTCTTAATGTCTTACTTAGAATCATTTCTAAGTACACAAGGGTTTAATGATATCAAAGTATACCTGGTGCCATGACCCTTTTTTTTCCTCTCGCAGCTTCAAAAAGATTTTGAGGAACCTTCCCTTGCTCAGCTCAAACTAAAGGACTTCAAAGTTGGTGAACGACTTGGCCAAAGTTCCTCAAACTCTGCAGTTTATTCAGCTGAATACATGGGCCATGAGGTTGGGGTCTTATAAAATTTGTTGTGTTAGTATGACAATCAATTTAGAAGCACAAGGGACTAGGTGTATGTTTTCAACCTCCCCTTTCCCCCCCCCCCCCCCCCCCTAGATTGAAGGTTTACTCACAGGTTTACAAGAAGGTTGCTATTAACCAAACGAAACTTATACTTTTCTAATACTTAGAAATGTTAAGCAAGTAGTCTCCCATTATGCATGGTAGGCAACATTCATTACCAGGAACTGCATGTTATACTGTAGGAATCTACTGGTGACATCATTTTCCATAGTTTCTTAACTCTGATGCATTAAAACACTCCTGGTATTTTGAAAAGGTAATTTATTGTACAATAATATTATTATTACTCTGATAAATAAATGTTTTGTCTTAATCAAACAGTATGCCATCAAGATGTTATTTAACTTTGGAACAAGTTCTCAGAGCAGCTCTTTAAAAAGAGTGAGTTTTTATCTTTTTCTTTTATAAGCATATAACATATTAGGTGCAGGGATGAAGGTAAAACTTTGTACAGATGGAGATGTGCACTTAACAGGCTGTTACTTTGGGCAGAAGGCCCTGTTTGCCACATGGCAGATGCACCTCTTGTTGGGTCCAGGGGCATGCTCCCCTTGAAAAGTTTAAAATTTAGGCTCTCTCTTTTGTGCCAAAATTTCAGCCTATACGAAATGTAGGTTACTTGACAGGGTTGAGATATAAAGTAGAAATACTCTGAGGAGCTAAGTTTTTAACAAACACATGATCAGTCCTAGAAATGGAGTGTTTATGATCTTGATACTTCTATAAGAAAATAACTGAAGTTTAAACATACAAAACAATATCTTATTTCACTGAAAACTTATATGAAGAAGCAGAAACTATTTGAAGATTTATATTCTTTTCCAGCCATGAAAATCCTTTTGACAACTGGATATTTTCAGCTGCCCATGTCTATTTTTTGCATTCCTAAGGTGGTTCATAGTACTCACATATCTGTCAACTTCCATTCTTAAATTGATGAAGCATCATTAATATGAATATTTCCCTTTTTAACAGGAATTTTCAAAAGAGTATCAGGTTCTTAGTGCCAAAAATGAGTGCAATGCCTCCCAAGCAGGTACATGTTATTGTATAGCAAGTTTTTGGAGCAGACTTTGATAACATCAGAATAAAGTAATGCCAAAAGCCAATCAGAACAGACTTAATTAGAACCCATTGAGACAAAAGCCTGTTCTGGGCTCCTAGTTATTAAAAATGAGTGTAATAATAAATGGCACAACAGTAGTGGTGAAGTACAAAAAGGAGAGATGTGTGGGTTGGGTTGCCTGTAACTCCTACTGTGCTCTCTGTGACAGAAAGAAATCTTATTTTACAGGTTTATCCTACACCAGGCTTTCAGCACATCCAAACATCTCACCGATCCTGCATCACTTTACTGATGACACCCCTGTCCTACCAGATGCTTCCACAAGCTACCCAGCTGCATTACCTTGCAGTAGTGGTGGACTGGCTAGGAATCGCACTATGTTTTTGGTCATGCCAAGGTTTGAAACTACATGTATTCACAAAATATGTCCACATCAGACTCTAAATGTTTTGTCTGCTGTGATAAACATCCCCATCTTTTAAACCCAATGAAGTAAAGATTTTGATTGTGCATTATTTTTGACAGATATGACAGAACTGTCAGAGAATATTTGGCATCAAATTCAAAGCCAAATCTGCAGGTATCTTCACTGCTTCTCCTGCAGCTCCTTGAAGGCATCAGGCATCTCACAAGACATGGAGTGGCACACAGGGACCTTAAAACTGACAACTTGCTTCTGGGTGAAGACACCAACAGTTCATTCCCCCAGTTGGTGATAGCAGACTTTGGTTGCTGTCTAGCAGACAGATCAAGGGAGCTTGTACTCCCTTTCCAAACAGCAGAGATTGATCGTGGAGGCAATTTCACTCTGATGGCCCCAGAGGTAAATGATCAATGACAGTGCAGTGATCAAGGTGTTTAATCAGATGTATTTGGAGCTGAACAGTACACTGTACTGAGTGATATACATTGAATTAAACAACATAATTCCAGTATTTTTAGCAGCTGTAGTGACTTGTAATTTAGTTCATTACACTACCATACCTGTAAATTTTCTAATTATTACGTCACTCTAACTTTTTTCCCAGATTGCATTAGCTGTTCCTGGGAAGGATTCTGTCCTTGATTTCACTAAATCTGATGGTAAGCTTTTAGTGCTTTTCTTGTCAAAGGTTCTTTTCTCTATGAAATAAAACTGTGTGCAGTTTGCAAGATCCACTTTGTGACTGCTGTAATGCATTCATGTTAATCTTTATTGCAAAAACTGTATTCACTTGTTGCTAAAAAGATTTGTGATGTGCAAGATATGTATTTTGTGTCCCTTCCTTGTTCTTCAGCATGGGCAGCAGGAGCCATTGCATATGAGTTTTTTGGCAATGTCAATCCATTTGGATGGGATGGGTTGGACAGCAGGAATTACAAAGATGATGACCTTCCTGTTCTTGTCCAGTAAGTGAGATACATCTTTTCTGCAGAAAAATAATTTTTTCTTACCAAAAACAGTCATGGGCTTAAGCGCTGACAATATTATTGTGTTGTGTTCTTGAACACTTTATTCTCAGAGTCTATCTTTTCTTCCAAGAGGTGAGGATAAGTACCAGCAGACTGTCTGGGAACACTGACAGGCATCCATCTAGGGGGTTGAAAAACTATATGAATTGCTTCATGTTACAGAAACCTGGATAAGCCCCACCCAACTCACAAACCATTTTTAAAATTATAACCAGCCAGTCATGATTGCAAGAGATGGCCAAAAAGTTTCCAATAGTGCAATATTTTATCACTGTACATTAACACTTTTTTGGCCCAAACAGAGTCCAACCAGGTGTGAGAAAGGTAGTGTCACTGCTCCTTAAAAGGGACCCTGCAGAGAGGATAACAGCAGAAACAGCAATCACTATGTTAATCCTAGTGTTAAGGGCCCCAGCTGAGTGGCACCAGGGGGAAGATGTGCAGGTTGAAAACATCAATTGGTGAGTATTTGTAATCCTCCAGAATTAAGTGGAAAGTATATCATGTTTCAGGAATCAGTCAGTGCAGAATAGGGGTGGTTTGGAAAATAAATGAGCCAGGCCTTTTACAAAGATTTGTTTAGATCCACAACATGTTGTTTGCAAGTTCAGCAAAGTTGTTTTCAAGAAGGAAGTATTAGCAGTTTGACTGGTCTCAAAACACTTAATTAACAACTGCTGTCACTAGATAAGGAGAGTAAACTTTCTGGCCATGATTGTCTTTAAAAAAACAAGCCCCTAGGGTGGCAGTATGGGACAAACTAAATCAACCAGTCCAAGATTAGGCACAGGCTTAAATCATAGTACTCTCTTATGCTCAAGGGATTTAACTATTTGAACATAGTGACACCACCTTGACAAGGAGTGTAAATGGTTTTGGCAACTAGTTAGAGAATCCATCATTCCTTGGTGTAATCTGTAGCAGAAGTCAATAGAAAGTGATAAAGAAAATAACCCAACACCTTGTGAAGAGTTTGCACACTTCTTTTCCATTCACTTAACTTTCCATAATACACATACTGCCAGGATTTCTTTCTATTTTTTTTCCAATTTTGTTCTTGCTCATTTTAAGAGTTGTGCTGGGGAACAGGGAATCCCTGGATATGTGGAGACTAATTTTGTTTTTTAAGTATTTACCTTTTGAAAATGTATTTCTGATGTGCCCTTGGTACTTTCAGTTACCACCAATCTTTTAGCAAAAACCTGGGGTTGATTTGTGAGGTGGCAGTAAGTTATGTTTTCTTACAGATGAAAGCATATCTTCTCTTTTTTCCTCTTTCTTCAGGTGGCTTTTCTGCATTTCATTGGAAATGCTTGGGTCTGAATTCCAAAGAGCGTGGACTCTTGAAGATAAGGTCAGTTGTTGAGCACAACTTGCTAGAAATCCTGTGGAAGTTTGTTGACTCAAAAAGTGTAAACAATGACAAACTACAATAATAGTATCTATCTGACCTTTTCAGGAAGGAGTAAGTCAAGTTGTAGAATACACTTGCAAATAGTGCCCTGTAGAATTTCCTCTAGTTGTGTCCTTGATTCCCTTGAGGGCTGAGTCCTTTCATAAATGTCTCATAGTTTATCCAATAGTTCAGTCACTGTTGTGTGTCTGTTGTTTTTTATTACGTTCCTGCTTGTGTTTTTTTTGTTGTTCGTTTGTCAGTCCACAACCAAATTTACTTAATCGCAAATAGACAGAAGCAGTCAGCATTCAATTCAAAAGTAGCCACATGTTCATAAAAGGAACCATTTTGCTACTTATATATTTTTTCTATAAAAATCTTGTCTTATGTCTCATTTTTGTTATTTGATCACATTTTTGTTTATATGTAGCAACTGAAGAGTGGCCAGTTCATACTGATCATTTGTGTTTACTTCAACAGATCATGTATCGCTTCCTGTGCCGTGTTACACCAAACCAAATCAAAGATGCATTGGAACTGCTGACAAATGATGTTTAATGGACTGGACTTGTAGTTGCTAGACTCGTTCTGGGTTGGGGTGGAAGTTATCAATAGACTTACATAAAGGCATCACTGGAATCAAAAAAGAACAGTGCAAAAATGTTGGAGACATGAAACAGATTTATTGCCACGCCAACGTACATTTCTCTTTTGCAGTTGAAACAGATTTTTTGTGACTTGTGTTTTGACAACACGTAGTGGATTTATTTCACTTACAAGTTGTCTCCCAAGATTTCCGTCAGTGTGGAAGAAAGACTAAATTAGTTACATTTGTTTAATTGTCAACTTCAAAGTTGTAGTTGCGAAAGAGAACATTATCTCTGATCGCTGACCAATAAGATCTGGCTTGTTGTATTTATCTACGAGGCCCTCTTCTTGTTTAAGTTACGCTCTTTTTGTTTCATTGAGTGTAGAAATTCAAATGCATCTTGCTGTGTTTCACTTTAATCCAACTAAGGGCTATATTCGTTGCGGTGGTTAATTTCCCTTAATCAACTTTTACTACTGAAATTCAACCAAGTGTTAAGAAACTAATGATACATACAAATAACCTGTCAAAAAGTAGACAACTGAATGTAAAGAAACTTTTGATTGGTATGTTTTTTACTTCTGGCAATTGAATCGGGTCCAGTACACTTTATATTAGTGTTTGTTTGTACCTTGGTACATTCGATTCTGAGGGTTTTACCCAACGGTTGTACATTTTGAGTTCGCCTTTTAGTTTTTTTACACTATGAGGGCAGCGAGTGATTTATTAATGGTACCCTCAAAAAACTAATTGTTTCGTTGATTCGAATTTGTGGTCAATCTTTAGTTAGATCGCTTTTTATTGTTGAATTCAATTCCTTAACTTCTATTTCTTTTGTTTTTGTCTCTTTAATTAATTGATGATTTTAAAAATCCCGTGTAACTCCTAGCAATGAAAGGTAAAACTTTTCTTTACCTGCTCAAGTTTCCCTATATTTTTAGCACTCTGATTCCACAAGAGAGAGGTCTGGATTCGAGCGGGGCCCGGTGCACAAAGCATTGGTCACCTTGTCGCCACACAGGAGAGTGAAGTGTTTGAAAGAAACATTGAAAGAAAACTGAATGTTAAAGCATCCCGGACCAGGTGGATTTTTTTAACCACCATCGCCGCCTCGAGACATGTTGATATACCGGCTCTGAAAACCACGGGAGCCATTCCTGTTTTGCTATTTTCTTATCGGTTTTATCACGTCATTGTAAAATCGTGAGTTTCTCCTTTTTTCCTCTCTCTCTTTTTTTTTAACTTGTCAGAATGGTTATTCAGTGCATCTCTCTTTGGTAGTCGCCCGAGGCATTTTGCAGTATATGAAAGGCACATTTAGCCCCTCTAGATCAACACGACTTTTATTTTGTCTGTTATCATAATCTGAGGTTAGGAATACAGTCTTGGAAAACAGGGAAACGTTTCAATTTTTTTATCCACCTCCTTTGATTAAAATGCGATCTCCAAACACCTGATCCTCTTTCCTGAAGACCAGGCATCGCTAAACAACAAAGAAACTGAAATTAAACAAGCCTTTGAATAACTGCAAACAAACAGACTCCGCCTCTAATTGTTTCTGGATAGCGAGTGAGGAAAACCGCAATGGGGTTCTAATGACGGCTGTCAGGTAATGAAAATACTTCATTGAATATGTCACCGCTAAATACAGCGGTATTTATCAAACTACCGACCCGATATATTGGAAGGGGAGAAAACGTGAGTTATTTAATATGATATGTAAATTATCCATATCACTAAGGATTAATAGGGATGGATATTTCGCAATCAATTTTGAACCTTTTGTTTCGGGCGCAAGACATAAAAGGTTGACGCATTTACGTTCTAAGTAGATCGAAAAACTTGGATTCTCAGATGAAATTAGTTTTCAGAGCGGTTCGGTGATGATGACTGGAAATCTGTTTTTGTCTTAGATTAGGATCCAGTTTTTTTTTCATATTTTCACGCCTTGGAATAAGCATTTAGAAATGTTTTATTAGCGTGTATCGCGGCCTAAAACGCACTGTAAACGTGATAAAGAAACTGAAGTAAATTTTGTCAGCGTTTGATTAACAGACACTGCCAGAAATTTCTAATATAAATTACTCCCAGTGGCTGAGCGAAACTGAGTCTTCTAAACCCAGGTGGTAATAACTGCCACGTGCACACATCACGATATTGTGTCTAAATCAATATTTCTAAGAACAAAACTTTCAGCTTCCTTCTTAAAATCAAGCAACACTATTTACTGGTTGCGATAAATATAGAAACGTTTTAGCGAGCAGTCGTCAATCGAAGCGATGTAATGCTGTCAAAGTGTTTCGCATTCTTACTACGTAAAACCACAGTGATAAAAACAGTTAACGCCAGATAAAATGGTCGGCAATTAAATATTTGGAATTAGGTTTTCTAGTGGTCGGACATTGGGAAAATTATTGTCTCATTTTTCAGATTGTGTTTCACTCTGCAAAACGCTGCGGTGAGTCCAGTCCACTTTCCTCTAGACGCAGTTCTCGAGCTAGTGTTTCAGTTATAAAATATAAAAGTCATTAATGGTTTGACTTACGGACACAAGCACCGTAAATACTTTGTTAAAAATAATCTTGTTCAACAAAGAGACACCGCAATATGTGCTAAGGTCAAAGTCAAACTCAGGACATTTTTGTAATTTACCTTTAAAAATAGAAATCTCTCTATTGAAAAGAAAAACACGTCTTTGAAAAGTTGTGTTTTTTTTTTGTTTTCTTTCCCCGTTTAGTCCATTATTTATTTTATTCAAAAAATCTAAATATTTTTTCTGTTGTTTATAACTCTCTACCGAGCCAAACATTTGTTCGGGCATAAATCAATCGAAAATCAACTGAACTCAACTCACTTCTAATATGAATGACCGAAGGCGTTTCAAAATTTAATTGACGCGGTTTTCTCTTTTCACAACTTTTGAATCGGCTGCGGGCAGAGCATCTCGTATGATAATTCACCGGATAATCAAACCACTTGAAAATTGCATATCTCGGTGTAAAAGAAACACCTGTATTGAGGTCGAGAAAAATATTTTGATCGCAAGGTTAGAAATTGCGTTTTTAAGACTTTTTTCATTGTTTATCTTGTCGTCAAGTGTTTCTCAGTCAAACTTCATTCTTGCATCATTAGCATCGGATTTATACCTATTACTAAAAAAACTAGGTTAGCAACAAAACTCCGTGCTATGCTGAATAATAAATAAAGTGGAAAGAGAGAAAACTGTAACGTAAGAAGGTCCAGATAAAATTCTGTTGAAATGATACGTTCAAGGTGATCCAAGAATATTAATGAAATATAACTGGAAACCCAAACTCCAGAAAACGAAAACAGTTTTCTAGACTAAATCCGTAGAAGAAAAAAAAAGCAATTAGATGTCTACAAAAAAAATTATTTTCTTTTTTACACCCACCCATCACGTCGCCAGCGAGACGCTTGTCTCATTTGCCATAATTAGAGTTTCAAAAAAAACTAGACGTTGCTCTTCTAATTAAAAATAAATTAGTCCTAAAGAGAGCGACACGGGGGGGTTTTTTAAGACCGTCGTGTTAGCCATTTTGCGTGCCCAGATCAAACTGAATCAAAGTGTAAGAATTCTTTTATTAGTACCGATAACGATGAAATCCTTATACCAGGAACAGAAAATTTTGTTTAATATCTGAACTTGTCGCTTTATCCGTTTCTTATCATTTTTCAGGTTTTAATTAATGTTACCTAAGATATACTTTGTTAGAATCCGATGATATTAGACTGGGAGGAAATTGCAAATTACCGTGAGCTTAAATATGCTTTTTTTCTCTCTCGTTGTTTTTTCCTCCTCTATTACTCCAGCAAACAATGTAAGTTTTCTCTTTAGCTCTGTGTTTAATCAAGGCAAGCATAACTTGTGTCTGCTGTTTAGGTCTAACGTTATCCGTATGACGCATGTTTTAACGACTTGATTTGTCAAAGAACTGGGAACTCCTCACGTAGAATTGTGTTTAACCGGCGTTAAAATACTAAAACTCACTGAAACAATATCTTATTGATACTTATGCTATGAATTATTTCATAAGGGAATGCACGACTCACCCAGAAAGCGAGCTCACACGATAGACCGATATAATTTAAATCAAATGCAGCCGTTGGTAAACATGGATTTTTTTCCAATTTTATATCGGCAGCGACACATGCATTCTGTTCGCGCGACAAAAACACTCCCGAAGCTTTCAAAATCATTTTTGAAAGTTGTTGTTTAATCTGAGCCTGTGTTTTCCTTCTTAGGCGCTATTCGTTGCTTTTCTCGCCAAAGACAGGCTGCCCAGATAATGAGGCAGTGTATTTTGTCTTCATTGTCAACCAAAGGTGAAGCGAGCAATTATGCAAATGCATGTTACTGATGAGGCAAACACAATAATAAATAACTTATCCCGTTCGCGTAATTTGTCGTTCATTTTTATCACAAAACTTTGTTTAGAAAACAACGCAGCTTAGGAAAGCTTTTGAAATAATGAGAAAGCTCATTGAAAAGTCCGTCATTAAGGTTTTTAAACAAAGTCAGTTCAAGCCATTAAAACTCACTTTACAAAGTACGCTTAAGATACTTGTCAATATGATAAAACGCAAATTTGTAAATTTATCCTCGAATTTACCCAAACGAAATCATTCGCATAGTTCACACACTGAACCTCATTAGAAATAAAAGACCTTTGATAGGAATGGAAAGTAAATTATCGCACTGCAAAACCTCGCTGAATCTAATCTGAATTTGTATAGAAGGAAATAATGTGTCAGTTTAAACTGAATAAATTTTTCTATCTCCAGTTTATGACGTTTCTCTCGACTTCTCTCCCGATCCTAAATTTCAACCCTTGATTTGTTTGAGCAGAGAATCAAAAGATCTTCAGTCTATTTAGCTCAAAGAGCTCTATCGACAAAACTGTACTTAACTGAAAACAAAAGGGGATCATTTGAATCGACTATTTGAGAACTGTTGCCATCTTAAAGTATTGTCATGCCTTGCTGACATTTTGAACGGGCTAAAATGAGGTATTTGTTGAAAGGGAAAATGTTCAATACCGAGTATTTCTCAAGGTAGAATTCCGTTTAAAACAAAAACGACGAACTGCTGCGGTTTTTTGGGCGAGAGTTAAACTTTTGAAAGGAGAGCGGTGAAAATCAGCTGGTGGGCAAGGGGACCACAAAAGATTGGTGCCATAAGCGGCGTATATAGTTAGCGAAAGGAAAGACTTATTATGCTGCAGCTGAAATTACAAATAAATAACGTTTTGTAAGTACTTTTATTTGAATTTTTCCGGCTTTTTACATCATTTCAGTCTTGTTTGCGAGATTAATGATAACAAAGTAACTTACTAAACTTTCGTGTAAGTTTGTGCTTATCCATGAGGACTTCTGAACGAACTAAAAACTGTACCTCCGTTAAGTAAATGTTGTTGTAATTATTGTCTTTTCAGGAGAACACGGTCGCATCACTGTAAAGTGTTTAATTTCCTTTATTGTGAAAATTTGATCTAATGGATTATTTCGGTAAAGTATAAAAAGTTATGTGGTTATTCCATTTTAAAGTAATGAATAGTGTCGGTTTGTTGTTTTTTGAGACAAGAGATAAACTTCGTTTGAGTTCAAGATCTCAGAAAAATTTGTCCGTTTTTCCATTTCTATTAACAATGCACGCTATTTGTTACTGACGTATTTCTGACCATTCTCTTTATACCCATAGCATAAATTTAGCTTTGATAAATTATTGATTCAGCGCAAAAGCAAACTATACAGTTATTAGAAACAGGAAGAATACTTCACTACTTTGACCCTGAAAATTCATAAGAACTAAAATGTTAATGACTGAGTTTCATCCCTGTTGAGGTTTTGGTGATTTTTAATCTTTTCTTACAGAATAATTCTCACTTTTTCTTCTTGTATGTGGTACCAGGGCGTTAATATTGTTTTAGTTTATGGATAATACAGTTATTGAAATTGCTAGTTGAAAATGTACTTGCTTAAGGTGTGTTAGCACCTTAGGGTTTGTAAGTTCCAGGCGGGGCGAAGCGAAAAAGCCTTGGAAGTATTCACGGCTTCATTAATGAGCTTCCATTGACAGTCTTTCAAAAGAAAATTTACTAATAGCGCAAATAGGCATAAAGTACATCTTAAATAAAGTGCGTTCTTATTTTATATTGGGTAAAGCTTAATACTCTACCAAGGCGAAAACCTTTCGTGATAAAATGTCTTGCAATTTTTTTGTAATATAAAAATCTAATATACTACAAATGATCGTAAATTCATCGAGAATTCTATGATTGTTTTTCGGTAATTTTACAATTCTCTTTTCAGCCAAAAGAGTTCTTATATCCACTGACTTAGCTGAAAGGAAATACTCATATCAAAATGCTACTATTTGCGCCCAAGTTCTCGTACTTTTCTATAGTGCTTCACCTTGACATTTCAAGTTAATCTTTGGCTATTTCAACTGTTTGTCAAAAACAATATTCTTCGTTGACTTTACATCGGTGGACCGTTCTCGTTCTATTTTTTCTCTTGCTCGGTAAGGTAGCGTAAGCCGTGAACTAATGGTACGATGGAACGAATTCAAACGCAGACATTGAAGAGGCGTGTGACTTCGCCTTCATTCTCAACGCTTCCAGCGCCATCTTAGGTTGTTCGGCATGGCTTGAGAAAGCGGCGCCTTGGCAAGGCCAAAGCGTACCGTTGTGCATTGGTAGCTGCGATGAAGACATGTAACTAGAGTTTGTAGCGTTGAGAGAAGTCAAAATGCCTGGATATGTGTGGTGATGGGCGCTCACAGGAACTGCACCCGGTAAACCAAGGAAGTAGTTCGGTGGTCCACAGGGAATACTTGGTCTGGGAGCAATTGGCAGGTGCGGTCCAAGTTTTTCGCTTTGATAGCGCACTTTTTTCGTAAAACTCTGCGACGGGTTTTGTCTCTTTCGCCATTTGGCTCGTCTGTTTTGAAACCAAACCTAAAAAGTGAGAAAAAACAAGCTGAATCTCAACGAAATTTCTCCGTGTTCCTTCAAATAAGAGGGAACTCCAACTTGTATGATGTGAGTCAACAAAAGACAAACAATTTAATGGTTTCCACAAAGAAGCATTTAAAACGTGTTCGGATGACAAAACTCGTCTCTTTTATCTCTAAATCAAAAAGCAGAAGTACTGTAATATAGTCAGTTGAAGGATAGAAATGATGTTTAGAACTTGGTCTGAGAAATGCCGGGGTAAGTGAATACACTTATACAACATTGAAGACAAACATTCTCAATGACCGATCGAAGTCCGCGGTGTTTAATTGTACATCTCAATATCGAAAGAGCTATGTATATATCGTATTAGTGGAAAAGTTACAAAATAACGGCAACAGGAAGTCTCGACAACAGCATGAAAAGACGGTTCAGATTGAGATATTGTAAAAGACTTAATGTTTTTGGTCACCAGTAATTTGCCACTCAGTGTTTTTTCGTGAGTGTCATGAAATTTGTTTAAATTTTTCGTAGAAGGACTCATAGAAGAGGAAACAGCACATCGATCGATCCATTTACTTTGCAGCAAAAATTTTTTAAAGGATGCACAAATCAAACGCTGGCTATTAAAAGGCAGAATACTCAAAGTAATCTTATCTTCATCAAAAATACACGGACATAAATTTTACCTTACATTAGACAATCGATGGTATATAATTTTCCACTCATTTTAGTGTGCTATTTAGTGGAAAATCTTTCCAACAGAAAAACAGCTTTTCGAAACTCAAGAGAGAGAGAGAACTCGAATTTCCGCTTGACTCAAAACATCGAAGTCTGCAACTTTGGCAGAGTATTTTGCAGCAGTGTGCTAAAATCACTGGTGAAATATCGTGTGAATCCTTTATTCTTGGTAATGTGTTATTGGCAATATATTCATACTTTTAAAGGTGGAAAAAAGAAATTCAATTATGCACAAATTCACTAAGCTTGAAGCTATATCGTCGATCACACAATTTTCGCTAGTAATATAATCTTGCCCGGCGTCCTAATACAATTATGGGCCTACTATTACACAAGGCTATCGTTAACGACCACACCCGTTTACGTTTTATCTCATACATTATTTTTTCTTTTGGCGAAATTTAGATATATTTTCTGTGAGATTACTTTCTTCACACGCAACATGAAATCGCTTTCGATGAGCTCTGTGTATTCAAAGATGAGGCTCAAGCATAGAGATGGGTGTTTTTAATTATTGTTAAAACGATTTACCTGGATTCGCGCCTCGCTGATGTTAATCTTGGCAGCAAGCTCTTCTCTGAGGGCGATATCTGGGTAATGCTTTTTATCAAATACTTTTTCTAGTTCTTGCAATTGTTGCTTTGTGAATGTGGTACGATTTCTACGTTGCTTTCTCCTCACTGTAGCAGAGCTTTCACCATCAGCATGTCCTTGGGGATCTGATGGTGCTTGGAGGTCTGCCGATGGAGTCTGATAACTTCTGTAAACCAAGGAGGGGACTATAAAGGGAAGTGTTTAGAAGATAGTTAAAGTCATATTCGACACTGTCTTTTTTGACAGGCCTGGGTTATAGGTTTTGGACGTTCCCTGGCTAAAATTAATGTTGTTTTCAAATAAAGACAGATAAACTGTGCTTACACTTAGAGGAGGAAGTTGCCAAGCTCTCGATTCCTAAGACATCACTGACTACATACTGGCTATGGGGTTTGCCCAGACCAAGAGATTGCTCCATGGCTTAGTTACAATGAGTGACCGCTATATTCAGTGGTACGTGTGCGAAGACTGAAGTCCGTGCAATTCTGATCCTTACAACTCGCTCTCTTTGAAACTTATTAGCTACACGAGCTGATTAGGGCCTTGGCGCTAATTGTTTTTGGCTGTGGAGCAGCTGCAATGATGCATGAATTCAACATCATAGCCACAGCGTTCGTAGAGAAAATTGAAAATTAATATAAGCCCTGTTTGAATGCATACAATGGTAAATTTTATTACTAATGCCAAAGCAAGACCTTAAGACACCTGCCATACGCGTGTCTAGGAAATACCCTTCGAGGTTTTATTTGTATACGCCTAACATAAAGGCCATCACTATCAATACTAATGTTCTGTGAATAATAAGACAATTTTAGTAATGATAAAACGACCGGTTATAAGATATCTTAACAGTGTTTGGAGCACTTCCTGTAAAACAGGCCGCCGTTTAGCGTTGAACAAGCATTTGTAACATTTTTGCGAGCAAGCGCGGAAACCGACAACGCTGTAAGGAATGCGAGTTGTTCTAAGCGAGGATTTTTGGATGTCTTCCTCAGAAAATGAGTGGGATTCCACATTTTTAATTAATCAGTATAAATATTCTTCGGAATCGTGCGCTCAATTTGATTTGGTTTTCTTAGTTATGACTCAAGCTAAATTGGGATGGCTCGGTAAACATTATCAATAAAACCGGACTGTCATGGTTCAGAACAATTTTAGCTTCCCGCTAATGGACATTGTAATTTGCAAAATTAAAAGAGCATCATTTCATTTAATGGTCTTACTTTGTCCTCGAAATCATTAAAACCGTTAATAGATGTGAGCTGCAAAAAATGAAATTGCATGGCAGTTCATTTTCAAATATCGCTGGTCATAATGTTAAAATTTAAATAAAGATGTCAATAGAGATATTTATGTTGTGGCGCCAAAGAATTTAAGTTTGTTAAAAGATAAAAACATTGAGGTAAAAATGCCATTAAAAATTGCTAATATCATTGTAAAGAAAAAACCGACCCATTTTCGACATGAGACATGAAAATGATGTATTAAAAATTGTATGTAGAGTCGCATTTTACAACATCTCAGGTGTCCTTATGGAAAACCTCCCTCAACACATCCGCCAATCAGAAGAGAAGCTAAACGTGACTCGATAACAAGCGCTGTTTAAAAGACTTTTTCTTTTGCGAAGAAAGTCAGTTTACGATAATAAGCAGATGGTATTTTAGGTCTTTTTGCATTGAAATTCAAGACAGTACGCCTTTCAGAGCGTAGTTTTTTCGTTTTTAATCCTCAGGCGCTGCTTCTGGGAAGGTTGTCGTCAATTCTTTTTCATATCTGTTACTTCTCATTTCGATCGTTTTTATTTACTCTCGAGTTTTGCTCATGCAAGGAATTGCTCTAACATGATAAAGGATTAACATTAGTATTATAAAAAATTGATTAAGACTGGTTTAAAATTGCAAGTTGGAAATTAAAATGTTTACCCCCCTATAAATATCAATTTGTCAGTTAAGATATTTTTATATTTAACTCAAGTCGAATCACACCAGACGGGAATCGAGAGTGTTTCGTTTTAAAAAGGCCTTAAAATCGCAAGGAATAAGATATATTCTTTCAGGTTATGCTAGATTTTGTTTGAATCAGATGCACATAATCATTCGTAGAGAGCACTTATCACCCAGCTGAAGAAAGATCATCCTAAAATTATTCTGAAACAATACTAAACCAATTGGAAGCCAATCAATGGAAACTTTGATGAATAATTTACAAGTTCGAATAGCTTCTGTTGTTAATGACAGTGAATATTCAAGCTAAGCCGGCCAATAGACCATTGGGGTTTCTTGTAAGTTAACAACCTGCGCTATGATTGGTAAAAGTTGTTAACGACGTCTACTTTCTGTGAGTGCAATGGTGTTAAAATTGAACCATCTCGGTTCGAATGTTTTTGTTCGCATTAATGTCTTTTCGACATGATATTTTAGGCTTATTAATAGTCGCAAATTATTTGATTTATTGCTGCTTGTACGCCTCCACCACTAAACTAAAGAATTTTAGTCTTAAGAAGCCTAATAGCAAAAAACTTTTTTCACGAAACGGTATGTTTTTTTTCAACCTCGCATTAAAAGCAAAGATCGCAATTACTAATTTTATTCCAGTTTTCTCGCTACAAGTGTTCTTTTGAAGATTTAAGCTCCATTCCCTGGTATTAAAAAGTGTTTTTTTTAAGAGTTTTTCCAATTTTAAATCATATTGCGTCACTGTTTAAGCCGGGATATGAGTTACGAAACATTCATCGACAGTGATATTGTTTATGCAAAAAAAGTAAATCGACTTATAACATGTTTAAATTCATATCTACCCCTGCCACTTGTTCTTTAACCACCTCAATATTCGTTTTTTAAATGGCGTTTAAAACAAAAATGGTCGTAGCGGAATTACATGGTTTTATCTGAAACAAAGAGGTTTAATAGAGCCGCATATTGACATTACATTACTGAATAAATGTGTTCGATTCTTGGTAAATTATGAAATGCTGGTACAAAAGAACCCTATAGTTTATCGCTTTTGTCAAGGAGCTGTGATCATTTTGTAAACAGGGGCAAAATGTTTGACTTTACACCTAAATAAAGGAGAAATCTTGGCGTGTATTTAAACGTTATAAACACAGATTTCAGAGTTTTCCTAATTATCCAAGCTTTTGTGTGCTCGATGTTTTTGGTTTTTTGTTAGCGATAAACATAGCATTTTTATTAAAGTCACTGTAAGATCTCTTGAACAAAAGCTTTTGTCATTTTGTTCGGTAGGGGATCCAGCAGAGGTAAAAATAAAACAGAATTCTTTTAGCAAGATATTCAATCGAGTAGATTTTGTTTACATATACAACTAGTTCTTGAGGAGGAAACTTGCGAAATGAGATGTCTCCGTGAAATGCTGATATCTGAAGTGCTATCTTATTTCTGCGTTTCTTTGTTTAATAACTGAGCCGATCAGGAAAATTTTTCCTCCTATTTTAAGTGACTATGAATTGCGTAATAATTTATAATCAGCTCGAAATTGATTTGTTAAGAATGACCATGTCGCCTTAAGCTACGACTTGCTATTTTAAAGCACTTCACAAACTTGTTGATCAGCCACGCGCGTTCGAATGGAAAGTTCAGGTGCCTAGCCAAGTATGACTTAAAGATAAGATCTGCGATTGCGAGATTAGCGATTTGTTCATGAATCGACACCACCTTTTGTAAACGATTGACTTGTGTTGTTATAATGTTACGTTTTTGGATGTGTAGATTGCTTCACAGAGAAGCGCAACTTACAGTAAGCAAGGTACACCCAATCAATTTAAACGCTGTTTGTAGTAAAATATATATTTTCTTTTACCATGCTTGAATCCATTGAAATTCTTACAAATTGAAATTTAATCGTTATAACTCTTTTGAATTAGACATTACCTCATGATTTTCTAGGTTAAAAGGGAAAATACTCGGTAAATAATCTTCCAGAATTCTGCATGAGAAATGCTGATATACTTCACGCCTCTGGAATCACTGTCTAGGCGAATCAAAAACGAGAATGAGCCGTCAAAATCGGAAAAAAAAACGGTTCTGTGGAAATCTCTATAACGATGAACACTAAATGCAGTTAATTGGAGTTTGAATAATGGACTTTATATATGATTATAGTATTCCTATTGAATACTATTCAGATAAACCGCTTTGGCTAAGTTAATTATGTTGGACTGGTAGACAGTTCTATTATGATGTTTTGACAATATACAGCGTTCATACACTTTAAGGTAAATGAAAGGATTTACTTCCTTAACTTTGTCGTGATCATCGAACCCGTCCTAACTAATTGCTGTAGATAACATCTTCAGAACGCACACGTGAAAACACAAAACTGGTTATCGATAAATGTCAACAAAGAGTCGAAAAACACATACAGTTGTAAGGTGAACACGCACCTTTTCTTTTAATTACCAACCCTATTCATCACCGTCGTAGTTTATTAAGTAGTTAACTTGTAAAACAAAGCTCTGCGAAAGAAAAGGAAAAGAAGCCTGCCGCAGGTAGAGTGTGGTTACCTATGTCTTCAGATAGTTACAAAAATTTGACCGAATTTTAAATGTAACCAAAATAGAGCGGTTTTCTCTTTATGTCTTAACCCTCGCGAATTTGCCTGTCAACACCTGAGTCGGAATGAGAAATGGTTTTTATGTCTAATTTTGCGCCATTTCCATACAAACGAGTGTAAATATCGAAAGCTTTACGACAATATTTATGGACATTTTGGGATAATTATCCGAGCGAAGTTTGCTAAGTATTACGTCAAACAACTTTTAAAAGTTAGATTGAAATAGTACTCTTTCGGTGTTTGCCAACTTGTAAGGAGAAAGTCTGCAAAATTCTGTGACGCACTTTGCCCATCCGTTTCACTATTTGTTCATATCGTGTACCGTGACCTTTTCCCTGCGAACTTTTTAAGGTTGTCTCACATAAAGAGCGCGAAATGCCAAAAGGTGACAAGTGCTTGATTTTTTTTTTTCGGAGTATTCTGCCATAGAATTGTGGGTAGGGTTTCATGTAACTCCTCTGGACTGATCTCAACAACAACACGTGTAGAGGAGATGAGAAACTCTGAAAGATGAGGTTAATCGATTTCTAGGCAGTTTTGGATCGATAACGAGGATTAAATCAAGTAAAATGACAAATGTTGAAAGCATTGAAAGACTGAGAGGTGTTAAAATATTAATTGGGAATAGTCTGCCATGAAACTTGAGTTGATTTCTGCACTCAATGTAAACTTGGACGAGTTTGTCAGTTTGAAAGATGCGGCCGTGAAGCACGTGCAACAGCTTGGCTACTTCTTTTTTTGAGAGACAGAGTGACAATTCAACTAGTTGGTGTCTAATGACATGCTTAATTGCGGGTATGAAGTTTCAAACCTTCATCCAAAGATCGATCTCTGAGACCTGTCAAAACTAGAAAGATGTACCCGTGTCGACAGTCTCTTAAAAGTCTTCTCATTTTTTGCGGCTTAAGTTACAACTGATTTTCAAAGGAGAAAATTATCCTTCAACTTTATAATTACTGAAATGATTTTATCCCATCCAGCTAGAACAGTAACTCCATATTTTCGAAAAACACCAGTGAAAACAATTAAAAGTGATTTATTCATCACTGATCAGAATTAGACAAGTTTACTTTTCTGCTTGCCACCCATTTTGTAATCAGGGACAATACCTCCTACAATAACATAAAAGACCTTGAAGAGCGATAGGTCGCTAGTTTACCGAAGAGGAATTCTGAATAAAAGTGCAAGGCTCCCAGGGAAGTCAGCGTTTCGATCAGAAATAACCTCGAAGAGTACCCTTTCCTCAAGGTTCGGCGTGTTGAATGGATAGAACAAATCCTGATTCTAACCTTTCTCTAACCTACCTAGACCGTAAAGCTCTGTTATCATAAATTCTAAGCTGGGAAGAAAAAAAAAACAATTGAATTCACGTGATATACTGTGTGCTGTCCCAAATTGAATTTTGACTACGTTGCAGCAATTAATTTAGTGTTTTAACCTGGGAATTCACCGTTAGCTACCGAGTAATCCTGCTATTT